CTTGGCAACTGACTCATATTTATGACAGTTGCAGTGTCCTGGGGGTCCTTCTGGCAAGCAAAGTCAAGGGGGAAGCCAGATTCACTTAACAACCGTGTCACTAACTTAACACCTGCAGTGATTAACAACTGTGGGAAGAAAGGTCATAAAATGGGGCAAAACGTACTTAACAAATGTGTCACTTAGTCATAATTTGGGTTCAATTATGGCCGTCAGTCAAGGACTACCTGTATTAACAACCAGGATTTTTATTTATGTTTGATTAAGTAAAATGACATCAATGTAAGTATTTTGTGGCTTTCTAGGTTAATCCTAATAATTTTTCCTCTTAAGTTCAAGAAAATCTAAAATAGCAATAATTAAACATGGTCTGGTTCATTATTAGCACTTTGGCTGTTTTTATTTTGTGTGGTTTCCTTTTGCTTTGTTCGTCTGCCTTTGAATGGGAAACATTGCACAGACAGGGGAGTGTGGTTATCACATGGCCAGACAATTAACTTGCACACCTGGCTGCTGCTGAAAATAGGAAAAACTGGTTGCACCAGCCCTCGGTTCCCTGGGGTGAAGCTAGGCTAAAATGGGGGCTGAAAGTAGATTTACAATGGGTTCATTGTTGAAACTATGTTCTTCGGTATACACAACCTCACTTAAAGGCATGAACAGGCCAAGATTGTTCTCTAGTAATTCCAGGAGAGGCACATGGGTGGGTAACACAATAACCTAAGCTAAAATGGGGTTGGGTAATTTGAAGTTCAGCCTCTTACGGGAATCTTGTCGTTGACTTAAACCTTTATGTGAATTAGACGGTTGAGATAACTCATAATGTGATGGGGAACATAGTAATTGTATTTTTGTAACCCAGGTTTAGTCTGTGGTGGGAACTCTTGTGCGACTGCAGCCTTTTTCAAATTTTCTTCTAAATTAAGAAACTCCAGATAATTCAATCTGTCGTTATATGAAAGATAACAGAATAACAGAGTTGGAACGGACCTTGGAGGTCTTCTAGTCCAGCGGTCACCAACTGGTGGTCCGTGGACCACTGGTGATCCACGAGAAAATGTTGGTGGTCCGCAGAAAAATTATTTGCATTTTTTATATTGCACTACATCAGGGGTCCTCAAACTATGGCCCCTGGGCTGGATATGTACAATGAATGTTTATATTGCTGCAGAGAATCTCCCCCTTTGAGGTCTTTTTGTGTGGGTTGGAAGGGGGCAGAAATTCCAACTTGGGGTCTGCTTCGGCCTCCTAATGTGGGGCTTTGGGCGAAGGCTGGAGGGAAGTGCCACTGATGGCAAAGAGCCGGAGGGCCTTGTTCCAGTGGGACTGCATCATGGCCTGGAACTGGCTGACCATCTCAGCCCGCTGAGCCTCCAGGCGCCTGTACCTGGCCTTGCACTCCCACAGGTCTTCCCTCTGCTTGGAAAGCCTGTGCTCGTAGTCCTCAGTGAGGTGCTTCTGCTGAGCCTCCTTCTCGGTCAGATCCAATTTGAACTGAGCTGTTTTGCCAACTCTTTCTCATAGTGGTTGCTTAGCTCCAGCAACTGCTTCCTGTTGGGGCCCTAAGGAGCCCGGGCGGGCAGGCAAAGAGTAGCAAGTAGAGACTGGCAAGGCGCCCCTCGACGTGAGTGACATTGAATTGGCCACACCCACCCAGTCACATGACCACCTTGCCACACCCACCCAGCCGATCATTAGGCAAATCATATTAGTGGTCCATGGGATTTAAAATTATGAATTTAGTGGTCCCTGAGGTCCGAAAGGTTGGTGACTCCTGTTCTAGTCCAATTCCCTACTCAGGCAGGAATCCCTATACCAGTGATGGCGAACCTTTTCGGTACCTAGTGCCAAAAAGGTCACACAGAAACGTCATACAGAAACGTCACGTGCGTGCGCGCTTATTGGGGCCATCCTCCAGAAAAGTCGAACTTCCAAGTTCTAGTGCACATGTGCACCCGATGATCAGCTGGCAGGCGCACATGTGCAGGCTGATTTTCAGCACTGCTGCGCGCAAAGGGATCGCACTACGGAAAAGCCGAACTTCTGGGTTCTGGCATGCATGCACGCACACCCGACAATCAGCTGATGGGTGCACATGGGCACACCCGTTTTTGGCACTGCTGCGCACGTGAAGGACAGCTGATCAGCGCGCACATATGGACACCAGAAACCCAGAAGACAAACAGGCAAGGCCGGGCGTGCCGGGCGACATGGCTTTGCATGCCACTTTGGACACACATGCCATAGGTTCGCCATCACGGCCCTATACCATTTCAAAACAACTGGTTGTCCAAACTCTTGTTAAAAACTTCCAGTATTGGAGCACACACAACTTCTGGAGAAAAGTCGTTCCATTGATTAATTGTTCTCACTGTCAGGAAATTTCTCCCGCTCTAATCCTCAATGAATCTTGTCCTATTATAATTTATTTTGTTTGGCTACCAACATGTCGTTAGGAACACAACCAGTGGATGCAGGGTTTGGCATCATGCTAAGCCACGTGAAATTTGCTTGCTTTTGGCTTAATGTCAAAGACAAATTTCGTAATCCAGGGTGCGTTGCCTCAAATGAATGAGTTCACAATTTGCAGTTATCCAGTAAACCTTGGTTAAGCTGTGATTTATTGCAAAGCGCAAACCCAGTCTTTGGCTCAACCTTAGAGCCTGTTGTGGCCCGCCAGCGGCCTGCGCGGATTGTGGCTGATCCCAATGATGAGGAGGCTGGTGTGGTGTCGCCCAGCAGCCTGTGCAGCCGGCGCTCGAGTCGGACAATGAGGAGGCTGAAGAGGATGTGGTGCCAGAGGCAGAGACTCAGCCAGGGCCTTCAGAACCTCCAGAGGCTCCTTCAAGTGAAGAGAGTGAAGTGGAGGAGCCTCTTCTCAATGCTCGAGCACGCAGGGCTGCCAAAAGGCAGGAGTGGCTACTCAGGAGGAGGAGGTCTCCTCGAGAGTAAGGCTTGGGGTTAATTGGCCACTCCCTTAGCCTATTTAAGTTCTCACACAGATAGCAAATGTTGCTGGAAACAACGTTTGGTCCTACTCAGAGCATTTTGAGAGTGAGTTTTTTGTTACAACTTGGTTTCTGGGCTGATTGCCAATCCTTGTTGGACTTTGTTTAATCTCTGTAATTCATAGCAGGCTGATAAGGACATTGGTGGTTAAAGCCTGCATTTTGAAAGGGGTCTGTTTCTATTAAACAGAGTTTTTGGAGCTGTGTGTATGTGTGCTACACTTCTTGGGACCCATAGCTGGGGCAGAACAGAGCCTGGCATCAATACTGCAGGTCATTCTGAAAATAATGATCATGACTCTTGGTGCATTTTATTTCAGCATCGAGTAGATCCCCTCCCAACTGCTCAAATGGATAAAAGGGATGAGTTCTCCGATGAATCCTGTCACGTATCATTTCAGACACGGAATGTTAGAACTGCACTTCTTGTGACCTCGCAGCCAGTTGCCGGTTGAAAACAGCCTGGGGCCAGACAGAACTGGAAGGTCCTGCAATATGAATCCCTTAAGGGGGATTGGAAAGTAGGTCATGCTGGGATAGGAAAATACATACATACATACATACATACATACATACATACATACATACATGTATGTATGTATGTATGTATGCATGTTGTCATGTATGCAACATGCACGCTGTTGGGGGGTAAATTGGAAACAAAAGATGCCAAAGCTATGGGAAAGTCTTGGAAGGAGAGAAGAAACAGCAAAACTGAGATCAAGATCATGGATTCTTAATTACAGAGTGATTTCTTTCCCCATGTAATTCTTTATAGTTCAAGAATTTTGGCAAATACTCCTTTGTTACAACTTAATTATGGTTCATTTGTTTCAAGATTTGTCATCTTTTGTTGCCCACATGTTCTTCTTCCCTTGGTTCTTATAATAAAAAGATCACCAACCTGTTTCTCACCTCTGTGAGTTAGTGGGTCATTAATGTATACGCGTAGTCCTCGACGTACGACCACAATTGAGCCTGAAATTTATGTTTGTGGGTCATTAGTGTATACAGGTAGCCCTCGATGTACGACCACAATTGAGCCTGAAATTTACATTCCTAAGTGAGATATTTGTTAAGTGATCTTTTTCCCCATTTTACAACCTTTCTTGCCATAGTTGTTAAGTGAATCCCTGCAGTTGTTAAGTTAGTAATGCAGTTGTTAAGTAAATCTGGCTTTCCCCCTTGACTTTGCTTGTCAGAATATTGCAAACTATGATCACATGAGCCCAGGACATTGCAACAGTCATAAATATGATCCAATTGCCAAGAATCTGAATTTGGATCATGTGACCTTGGAGATGCCGCAACGGTCATAAATGTGAAAAACTGTCCTGAGTCATTTTTTTCAATTCCCGTTGTAACTTTGAATGGGCACTAAATGAACTGTTGTAAGTTGAGGACAGGCTATATCTTGCATTACGATGGACAAACAAGTCATATTTTGAACTACATCGCAATCAGACTGAGGAGTAGTGTATTTTAAGACATCTCTATGTGATTGTGATACAGGGCTTTCATGGAAAGAAAGAGAAGTTCCTGTGAGATAGGGGTCTAGACAGAATCATAAAAATGTAGAAAAATCTTTAAAGGAAGGGTAACAAACTGCTCCGAATGTCGCAGAAGAAAATGGCAAAAAGGGAACATTGCGTGGGTGCTATTCAGCAGGTTCTGACAGGTTCTGGAGAACCGGTAGCGGAAATTTTGAGTAGTTTGTTTGGAGAACCGGCAAATACCACCTCTGGCTGGCCCCAGAGTGGGGTGGGAATGGAGATTTTGCACTATCCTTCCCCCAGGAGTGGGGAGGGAAAGGAGATTTTGCAGTATCCTTTCCCTGCCATGCCCACAAGCCACGCCCACCAAGCCACGCCCACAGACCCAGTAGTAAAAAGATTTGAATTCCACCACTGGAACAAACGTAAGGGAGATCATGGTAAGGTTAGTAATTGTTTTGTTACATCCCTTTCCATTAGTCATTAAGTTGGAGTCACGTTATGAGTTATTGATCTTTAATAAGGCTATTTTTTTCCCCACATAATTGAAACCAGCATGTTAAATCAGGGAAGAGTACAGATGGAGATATCAGAAATTCTGGGAAACATGCAAAATTAGCAGGAACAGAAAAATGCTTACCAACACAACGCAGTGGCTTTTCAACAACTACAAAGGTGAATTGATAAAGGTATGCCTAATCTACCTCTCATGAAACCTGCACATCCAATCTGTCTTCCCGTCTCATCTCATTATAGCAATAGCATTTAGATTTATATAGCAATAGCACTTAGACTTATATACCGCTTCACAGTGCTTTACAGCCTGCTCTAAGCAGTTTACAGACAGCCTATTGCCCCCACAACAATCTGGGTCCTCATTTTACCCACCTCGGAAGGGTGGAAGACTGAGTCAACCTTGAACCAGTCATGATCGAACTGCTGGCAGTCAGCAGTGAGTTAGCCTGCAATACTGCATTCTAACCACTGCGCCATCATGGTTATCCCAATTGAAATGCTACAGGAGTCTAGCTACTCTATGCATCAAGATGAAGTACACTGAAGCTCAGAACAGTTCAGGCCTTTTAATAAGATTGATTAGTTGGAAAGGATGCTATAAGATTTCTAATTTTTTGACAGCCTCCTACAATATAAGGTAGATTGTGGGTGAGGATAGATACAGGTAGTCCTTGGCTTATGACTTACATAATTGCAGTCTCAATGACTTTCATGATGGTTGTTAAGCGAATCGCCATGTGACCACACTCAATTTTACAATTTTTAAAATAAAATCATGGTCATTAAGCAAATTCTAGGCAAATGCAGTCTCTTTCTTAAGCATCATGGCATCAGGGCGTTTCTGTAAGTTTGATACAGAAGGTTTCTGTGTACAAAGCAGATTAGCTATAATGCCATTAAAAACAAAAACTTCCCAGCTATCAGAATAGAGAATAATAGAGTTGGAAGGGACCTTGGAGGTCTTCTAGTCCAACCCTCTGCTCAGGCAGGAAATCCTACACCACTTCAGACAAATGGTTATCCAGTATCTTCTTAAAAACTTCCAATGTTGGAGCATTCACAACTTCTGGAGGCAAGTTGTTCCTCTGATTAAATGTTGTAACTGTCAGGAAATTTCTACTTAATTCTAGATTGAAAACTTTCCTCTCTTTGAAAACTTTCTGTGCGTTACTTTTTGTCCTGCCCTCAGGTGCTTTTCTTCTTCTTTGTGTCAGAACAGTTGAACACTGAACTAACCGACAAAGGAAAGCTCCTCACCCTAGCAATGATTGTCCGGGATTAGGTAAAGATTCCCCTCACACATATATGCTAGTCGTTCCCGACTCTAGGGGGCAGTGCTCATCTCCGTTTCAAAGCCGAAGAGCCAGCGCTGTCCAAAGACGTCTCCGTGGTCATGTGGCCAGCATGACTAAATGCCAAAGGCACACGGAACGCTGTTTCCTTCCCACCAAAGGTGGTCTCTATTTTTCTACTTGCGTTTTTTACGTGCTTTCGAACTGCTAGGTTGGCAGAAGCTGGGACAAATAACGGGAGCTCACCCCATTACACAGCACTAGGGATTCGAACCGCCGAACTGCCGACCTTTCGATCGACAAGCTCAACATCTTAGCCACTGAGCCATTGAGTCCCTTGTCCGAGATTACTAAACCATAATGTGGTTGGCCTCCATCCCAATGTATAAAAAAAAATCAAACTAGTAATGATATTTAAGTTTGTATGCGCAGTTAATGATGTGTTTTGTTATGTATATTACAACCTTGAAGAACTTAGAGCAGATCAAGAACCATGGAAAGTGAGGAAGAGCAATTTAATTATTTCCCTTCCTCCTTTTTTTTTTTTTTTAAAAAAAATGCAGTTGGCTCAGCCATAGATTTTTACAGAATATCTCCTCTTTGTAAACCTCCCTTGTTGCTCCTATGACTTTTGTCATTTTTCTTCCCAAGGAAAAGACGTTGCAGGAAGAGATACTAGAATGGCTGGACTGTGATTGATATTATTAAAATTCCTCTATCTGAAACCACCCAACCTTTCCTTTCCAAAGGGATTTCCATATATATATAGAGTCTATTTTCTTACTTCTTCGTAGGGTTTATGTGTGTTTTTCTTCTAGCCAGGTTTTCCCTACGTAACCAAGGTTTTTCTGCAGCACCAGCTCAGTAGAATCACATCCACTCGATTCTGGGCTTTTTTCCTTTCTAACAGCTAGCAAGCTCTTCCTGCTAGGTGGGAGACCTATATAGATCTATTTCTAGCTCGTTTGCTTTCATCAGTAGGCCACACCCATATCTTATGTATCCTCCCTGTAAAGGTATAGTATCTACAGCTGGTGCTGCAGAAAAATCTTGGTTACGTAGGGAAAACCTGGCTAGAAGAAAAACACACATAAACCCTACGAAGAAGTAAGAAAATTGATACTGTATCTTTACAGGGAGGATACATAAGATATGGGTGTGGCCTACTGATGAAAGCAAACGAGCTAGAAATAGATCTATATAGGTCTCCCACCTAGCAGGAAGAGCTTGCTAGCTGTTAGAAAAGAAAAAAGCCCAGAATCGAGTGGATGTGATTCTACTGAGCTGGGGCTGCAGAAAAACCTTGGTTACGTAGGGAAAACCTGGCTAGAAGAAAAAAAAACCATATATATATATTGCTTTACTCTTTTTTACTGGAAAGCTGCAGTAGACCTTATCCCAGTGATGGCGAACCTTTTCGGCACCAAGTGCCCAAACGAGAACGTGCGTGCAGGTGCATGCTCCGGAAATCTGAAGACCAGCTGCTGGCACGCGCATGCCTGTTTTAGGGCCATTTTTGGCCATTTTCAGGCTGTTTTTCGGACCATTTTCAGGCCTTTTTCAGGCCTGAAACCAACCTGAAAGCGGCTCAAAAAACAGCCTGTTTTTTGGCCGTTTTTCAGGCACTTTCAGGCTAGTTTCAGGCCATTTTTCAGACCAAAAATAGCCCAAAAAACGGCCTGAAAAAGGCCTGAAAAACGGCCTGTGTTTTTGCCGTTTTTAGCCATTTTTTCTGACTATTTTCAGGCTGTTTTCTGGCGCTCTGGCGCCTGCAAAGACAAGCTGGCCAGAAACCAGAAGAGCAGCTGGCGATGGCGCGCGTGCCAACAGAGAGGGCTCTACATGACACCTCTGGCACACGAGCCATAGGTTTGCCATCCCAGCCTTATCCTAAACGGGAAACTGAAATTCACACAGCTAATATCATAGCTAGTTTGGTCCTAAGAAATTGTTCTGAAGGGGATATTTGCCTGCTTTTTCCATACAGGTAGTCCTCGACTTAGGACCACAACTGAGCCCCAAATCCCCTTCGTTAAACATGGGAGTTGTTAAGTTTCGCCCCATTTTTGGGCCTTTCTTGCCACATTTGTTAAGTGGCTCACCGCAGTTGTTAAATTAGCAATACGGTTGTTAATCTGAATCTGGCTTCCCCATTGACGTTGCCTGTCAAAAGGGTCACAAAAGGTGATCATGTGATGCCAGGACATTGCAACCATCATAAATATGAGCCAGTTTGCTAACTGTCCAAATTTTGATCACGTGATCATGGGGATGCTGCAAACGAGTGCGAAAAATGGTCACAAGTAACTTCCCTTTTCCACTGCTGTTGTGACTTTGAGCAGTCACTGAATGAATGTTGTAAGTCGAGGACTAGCTGTATCTCTGCTGGAGGAGCAGAGGAAGTCGGAAGACGCAGTCCTAGTGGCTGAGCCAGGGGTGCTGAAGGCATTTCTCAGCCCTTGCCCGTCTTTCTGGGGCATACTCCAGCATGGGCAGGACGAAACTGGTGAAGTGGGTAGCCTGAGGCTTTGGCCAGCTGTATTTATCAACGAGGATGTGATGGAGGTCGTAAAAAGAGATCCAGGACATCCGGAGAAGAGCCCCTGCCAAAGGAGACGAAGAAGAAGCAGTTAAGTGGCCGTTACCGAAATGTTGTCCAGGCTTCACAGGTTTTACGCCACTAGCAACCGTGCCAAACATAATATTGGATTTGGATGTGTTTACAGAAGGGACGTCCGGGGGTGGGCTGCTGGGGGTTCGCAGAGGTTCGGAAGAACCTTTAGCTAAGATTCTGTGCAGTTCAGAGAACCCCCAAATCCCACTCCTGGCTGGTCCTGCACACCTCGCCCCGCCCTTCCCAGAAGTCCCCACGTGGCCTGTTTTGGATGCAGGTAAGTGCAGGGTGCACACGGAGGCTCGGGGAGGGCGAAAAATGGGCCTACCGGAAGTTCGGGAAGACCTCCAGAGGGCCTCCAGAGCCTGGGGAGGCCGTTTTCGCCCTCTCTCAAGGAAAGTCTCCAGAGCCCGGGGAGGGCAAAAACATCCCCCCCCCCGCCATGGTGCAGGAGGCCTACTAGGCCTCGCCCACCATGGCCACGCCCACCCAGCAACCGGGCAGAGAACCCCTTGCTAAAATTTTTGAAGCCCACCCCTGCGGACGTCTTGTAAATGCCAGGAGAGTGGTGGGTGGGGGGGAAATCACAGCTTCCTGTCTTCATCCTGGCATCCTCACCTTGCCTGCTGAAGAAAGTGGACGTCTGCTGCCAAAGCAAAGCAATTTTGGGTGGGATTTTGCCCAGGAGTTCAATGATCCGAGCCACATGATCTGCAAAGCATAGAAAGCAGAGCCAGATATGTAGATTTAGGTGGGAGGAATGAGCTCGCCAAAGAGGCTGCGTGCACAATGTGGACCTACCATCATCTCTGGAAAAATGCTGGCCGGCTTGAGGTTTGAAAAGGTGCTTTCCAGTTGCCAGTTCAAAAGCCTACAAGATGAACGAGCCTTGAATCAAATCAGATATAAGCCAATTCAAATAATAGAAACAATACCCAGCAACTCAGATCTGTGGTTCGTGTCATGCGAAGGTTTACAGGCAGAAAAAAGTTGCATTTCCCAGAAATTATGTGAACACGAAGGACAAGAAGGAGACAAAAGGCTTTTTAGTGCAGCCCTAATTTCTTTTTTAAACTCTAAACTGACCCTCCTTGTCTGCATATCAAAGGGTTGAGCAGGCCAGGGCTGTCTTACCCTTTTTACAGATTAGATTACCTGCCCAAGCAATATATCAATGTCACAGACTGGAGGAAAGTCAATATGTCACTGTCACAAGGTCTGAGAAGAAGCTAACTGGGGTAGGAATCTGTTCTTTCAATCCTTCATTTTGTAATGAGGAACGGATAGTCCTCGATGTATGACCACAATTGGGACCGGAATTTCGGATGTAAGTTGGCACAGCCATAAAACATCATCAGATTGACCCTGGTTTTATGACCACTTTTACGTGCCTTTTAAATCTTGTGGCTAATTAAATCACCCAGTTATTACGAGAATCCAGCTTCCCCAACTGACTTTGGTTATTGGAAACTGTCTGGGAATGTCGCAAATTGTGTCCATGTGACTATAAGACACTGTCATCATCCTCATCCTATTTAACAACCCCATAATCCCTTGCAGGGTGGAGTCTGAGCAACTGAATAGAGCTGAGTGTTTACTGACCAGATGCCCTTCCGGTCGCCAATGCAAAGTTTTTTTCAGCAGATATATTCTCTCAGTGTGCTCAGAGAAAGAAATATCTGCCTCTACCTAGGATCGAACCTACACCGCCTCCTGATTGTGAGGCAAGAGCTCCAACTCTAGGCCACTGCACCACTCTGACTACAAGACACTAACCAACAGAAATATGAGCTGGTTGCCCAGAGTCCAAATTACGATCACATGACTGTGGGAATGGGGCAGTGGCCATAACTTTTGAGGACAATTCATAAGTCACTTTTTCTGAGGACATCGTAACTTCAAACCATTGTTAAAGAAACGGTCGTAAGTCGAGGACTGCCTGTTTATGCAACAACCTCTAGACTAGAAGTACGAGTTTGAGTTCTGGGTCATTGGCAAAGCTTTGTGAAATGGACTCCAGTGGGGTACAAAGGATCAGGGCTTGGCCATTTCCTTAGGCAAAGTTAGACAATATGCAGCCCAATTCTCATCCCCAACTTTAATGAAAAACATGGCAGTGTGATGAAGGAGGAGGAGGAGGAGGAGGAGGAGTGGAACAGTGAAATAGAAATGTCCATAATGAAAAAGGGAAGCATTCAGCCACATCCATTCTAATGGTATTACCACCTTGTATTTTAGGTGGGTGGGAGGGAATAATTTTTAAACCACAACAAAACTTTCTGTCCTATGACAGCTACAAAGAATGAATCTAAATTACTTTCAAATAATTTAGAGATCTTAATTAAATAACTAAAATGGCCATGTGGGTTATGTTTTGTTTGCTATTTGTATACATTTAACTTATTCGCTCTGGGGAAAAAAATCCAGTCTCAGGATAATAACTTTTGCTTTTTGGGGTTCCCCTCTCCCACAGTGAGAAAGGGGTAGTCTAGGTCAAGAAAGAGACACCTCCTTTCTCCTAGAACGTGCCTGTCCTGAGTCAGCACAAAGAGAGATCTGACAATCACAGGTAGTCCTTTAGTTATGACCATAATGGAACCTGCCCATTACAGAACTTCAGATCTGGTTCGTAAGTCCTCTTTTTCAGGTAGGGCACCAAACAACCTGTTTTAAATTAAGGACTGGCTGAACATTGAAAATAAGACTAAATAAAAGAAGACAGTCCAAGGACTGGCCACCAACGTCTTATCTCCGGTAATCAGCTTATCTCCCAGATTCAGCTCTAAACAGACAGCTGAAATTCCACAGGCCAGTATCACCATCACGTTTCTGCTACAAAGATGACCCAGGAGTCTGGTCCTACCAAACAGGCTGCGCTCCAAATATCAGCTGGGGTGCTGTAATCTAATCCAAGGAGAACCTCCACAGCTCTGTAGGGCTGGGTCTGGATCTTTTTGGAGAACGGCTTATACTGAAACAGAAAACAAACAAACAATTGAGATATTGAGAGTGGATTCTCACGCACCCCTTTAGATCCGAATGATGTTCTAGTAACCCAACCATGAACCGCCCCAAGTACTGGGTGTGCTTAGAGAGGATCGTTTGCCCTGCAAGATCCTCAAAGAACACCAAATTTATTTATTTGTGGAGTTAAGCTCGGGAGCCATCTGTTTGAAGGAAGGCAGAAGTGTTTAGATTTCCTTAGTTACGAGAAAAGACGACTAAGGCCGCAAACCTCAGCAGAAGTTCCATTAATATAGTTAATAGATTTATTTCTGAGTATGCATCAGTGGTGGGTTGCTCCTGGTTCTGCCCGGTTCTTGCAAACCGGTAGTAAAAGCAGCGGGAGGCTCCGCCCACCCGCCCGGATGTCATAATGGACAATCTGCACATGTGCAGAAGCACATGAGTGAGTGTGTACTCGCGCTCCCATTATGAACCGGTAGTAAAGGTAAGTAGAACCCACCCCTGGTAAGCATGTATTGTAAGTGATAGAAATTTCTAAAGATGGAGGCAGGATTCTAACCATGGTGGCACAGTGGTTAGAAGGAAGCATTGCAGGCTATCTCTGCCGACTGCCAGCAGTTCGATCCTGACCAGCTCAAGGTTGACTCAACCTTCCATCCTTCCGAGGTCGGTAAAAGGAGGACCCAGATTGTTGGGGGCAATAGGCTGACTCTGTAAACTGCTTAGAGAGGGCTGTAAAGCACTACGGAGTAGTATATAAGTCTAAGTGCTATCGCTATCCAACGGCTATCCTAACTCTCACTTCGAAGCACTTCTAAGCACTGAAATGCATGGGCAACTACAGGTAGTCCTTGACACATGATCACAATTGAGCCCAAAATTTCAGTTGCTAAGCGAGACAGTTGTTAAGTGAATTTTGCCCCATTTTACGACCTGTCTTGCCACAGTCGTTAAGTGAATCACTGCCGTTATGAACGGTTGTTAAGCAAATCTGGCTTGCCCATTGACTCTTCTTATAAGAAGCTCTCAAAAGTGATTATGTGACCCGAGAACACTGCAACTGTCATAAATAGGAGTCAGTTGTGAATTTTTATCCCGTGACCATTGGGGATGCAGCAACAGGCGTTAAGTGTGAAAAATGATCATAAGTCACATTTTTCACTAAATGAACTGTTGCAAGTCGAGGACTACCTGCAGTGGCACTGATTACTGATAGGTTGAGAACAATAAAAAAATCCTTGGCTTGTGACAATTGGGACCAGGCTTTCCATTGCCAAGCAAGACTGCTGTTAAGTGAGTCACATTCAATTTTGCAACCATTTTGCCACAGTTGTTAAGTGAATCCAGCTTCCCCCACTTTGCTTGTCAGAAAGCAGGCAAGTTGCAAACAGTGATCAGATGATCCTGGGATGCTGCAACAGTGGTAAATGCGTGCCAAGAGTCTGAGTTAAGATCACACGGCTCTGGAGATGCTGGAAAGGTCATAAGTAGAGGACTGAATGTGGCTTTTTTCAGTGCTGTTGGAACTTCAAATGGTCACAAAAGAAATGATTGCTAAGTCGAGGACTTCCTGTACAAATGTAATTTTAAAAAATGACACGCCTCAAAATTGCAGCTACTGGCTTTTCTATCTTGAGAAATGAAATTAATATACACATTCATGGAGATCACGCCTGTGAATATTTAGTGGGCATGTGGTTTTATGGAACTCCTATGTGGAAAGGAAGCTTGCTGAACAGGAAATCCTGTAGAAGAGCCTTTAGTACAGTGGACTAAAGCACTGTTATTAACATCTGCTGCTTGCAATTACTGCAAGTTCAAATCTCACCAGGCTCAAGGTTGACTCAGCCTTCCATCCTTTCAAAGGTAGGTGAAATGAGGACCCAGTTGTGGGGGCAATAAGCTGACTTTGTATAAATATACAAAAGTATGAAGGCTATTGCTTAACGCATTGTAAACCACCCTAAGTCTCCGGAGAAGGGCAGCATATAAATTAAAGCAAAAAAAATAAAAATAAAAAATCAATTGCTGAGAGGGGGCATTAGCAGGAACTGGATTTTGCTGAGTTTTGCAGGCAAGACTTCCAGAGCAGGGGTGAAATTCAGCAGGTTCTGACAGGTTCTGGAGAACCGGTAGCGGAAATTTTGAGTATTTCAGAGAACCGGCAAATACCACCTCTGGCTGGACCCAGAGTGGGGTGGGAATGGAGATTTTGTAATATCCTTCCCCCAGGAGTGGGGATAGGAATGGAGATTTTGCAGTATCCTTCCCCTGCCACGCCCACCAAGCCACGCGCACAGAACCGGTGGTAAAAAAAATTGGATTTCACTACTGTTCCAGAGGCACCTGGGTGCTCCCTGTAGAAAGCTGAACTCAAGTGGACTTTGGGAGGAGATTAGGGATGTGATGGCACTTTACCCGTGGATACGTGCCATTTCTGATCCTAGAGCAGAGGCCTCCAACCTTGGTGACTTTAAGACTTGTGGACCTCAACTCCCAGCATGGCTGGCTGAGGAATTCTGGGAGCTGAAGTCCACAAGCCTTAAAGTTGCCAAGTTTGTCCTAGACCTAGAGAATCATTATCTCTTATTTTTTTTTAGTTGGTTTGTAGCCAGGACTGACTGACAAGTTCTAGTCTCCAAGCCATTTCACGGATCTAAGTCACTGTGGCTTGTAAACTACATGTTATTGCTTACAGCAGGGGTGTCAAACTCGCAGCCTGTGGGTCAGATCCATCACGTGCTGGCCAAGCCCACCCCCGATTTAGTGAAGGGGAGGGGGGGGAAATTCACGATATGTCACGTGACAACAACGTGACATCTCAAGTTTGATACCTGTAGCTTACAGGGTTTTGTGGGTTTTGACCCACAAAAGGTCATGATCAAATCTGGTGGGTTTCAAAAAATTTTACTACCGGTTCTGTGGGTGTGGCTTGGTGGGTGTGGCTTTGTAGGCGTGGCAGGGGAAAGGATACTGTAAAATCTCCATTCCCACCCCACTCTGGGGGAAGGATACTGCAAAATCTCCATTCCCTCCCCAATCCAGGGAAAGGTTACTGCAAAATCCCCATTTCCCCCCGATCAGCTGGGACTCGGGAGGCAGAGAATAGATGGGGGCGGGGGCGGTCAGAATTTTTACTACCGGTTGTCCGAACTACTCAAAATTTCCGCTACTGGTTCTCCAGAACTGGTCAGAACCTGCTGAAACCCACCTCTGGATCAAATGCACCATGCCATAGCACCAAGTGTGAATCCATTCAAAGGGTTCTGCACTTTTCAGATGTGGGGCGGGGGGGGGGGGGAAAGAAGTTAGCATAAGAGGAGAGGCTGGTATAGACTCACGGTCCAGCATGCACTTCCCAGGTCTGCAATTTTCACTCCCATTTTCATTAGGTTGCCGCAGTCCAGAAGAGCTGCTGGGCTGTCTAGAACAAAGCCACACAAACAAAACCAGGTGAAGATCTTTCTTGGGGGGTGGGGGGTCCAGCTGCACATCCAACCCCAGCTCATATCTGTTATATAGTAGCATCAGCCCCAGTTGTGGCTGTAGTTGGGGCATCTGCAGAGGAATAACAGTTATAACAGTAACAGAGTTGGAAGGGACCATTGGAGGTCATCTAGTTCAACCCCCTGTTCACACAGGAGACCCTATACTAGGGATTCGAACTGCCAAACTGCCGACCTTTCCAATCGACAAGCTCAGTGTCTTAGCCACTTGAGCCACCTCAGAAAAGGATCAAGGGCCAAAACATCAAGGTGATGATTATAATCACCTAACCACCACCTCTTTTTTTTTTAGCGCCCGGTCTCACTGCAGTTCAGGTGGGACCAACTGCCATTAAACTCTCCCCCTCCCAAACCGGCTTTTCGGCCTTTACCTTCGCCATCTAGAAATAGGTTTCAAACTTGATTTGTTTTCCTCTGTCCCTCCCCTTTCTGAACCATGTCTTTCAGATGGCAAGCCATTATTCCACCTTGAGTTCAGCCGAGGAGAAATACACAATATGTATGGAATAAGTGTAATACGTAATGAATCCTCGTCACTTAGAAACTTAGGAGATTCCAGAAATCAAAGTGGGGGCCTCTGGTGGCCAAAGATGTGTTCAACTGTAGGAAGTTAGCACCCACCCCTCTCCTAGGAAAATGAGATATTCTAGGAAATATTAAAAGGGCAGAGTATTTCCCTTAAAAGGGAGGCAGAAACTCAGCCCCCATCCCCATTTGTCAATGGGCCATTAAGGCCTGGGCCAGTCTATTCTACATAACAGAGAGCTACCTCCTTCAGGCAGAGCCATAGTAGGAATTGCCCAAAGCCCTTTCATTATATCATCACCCAGCAAGAGTCAACCAAGCTTGGGACACAGACAACCTACAAAGTTACCCCTGCATGGCCCCATGGGAGTCTGACAACCAATCAGAATACAAGCTCAAATTCAAACGCCCAGAGAGGGCATAAAACCCAGGCACTCTCAGCATCTCTTCCCTTTTTTCTTCACCCAAGATCTTCAAGGCATGTGATCCTGTCCACCATTAAAAACCATCTTTCCAAGCAGTCTCCATGTTTCCAGTGTCTTTCTTCCCCACTTGGAACTGAACCCAGATGGACATTTCTTCCAACACAACCCACTGAGCCATTATTTTTGCTTGGGGCGAGTGATCACAGGTTGTAAAATGAAAAGCAGCCCATAATATAGTGAAATCATTCACGGAACAGAGCCTGATTTAAAAATGCTGCATGCCTCTGCATCTAGATAGTGGTTCTTCCTGCCTAAAAGAAGGCTGGGGGATCCAGAGCCCCCCTTCTGAATATGGACTCCAGTGCCTATCGGACACGGGCTAGGTGTCAAGGAAGATGGGAGCTGGAGTCCAAACACAGAAGGCCATAGATAGGGTTGTCCAAGAGCAGAATGATGCCTGGTCTCTTGGTTTTTTGGTCTCTATTCCACCATTAGATGTTGATAAGAGCTGTGGTGAAAGTAATCCTCTCTGTATCTCCCATCATCTGCTACAGTGGGAATGCTTCACTGTGCTTAAAGGCTTGCTGGCTTGGGATATATTCCCTACAGCAGGGGTGTCAAACTCAAGGCCTGTAGGCCGGATCTGGCCCGTGGGGTGTTTGGATCTGGCCCACAGGGCTGCCCTGGAAACAGCAAAGGGCTGGCCCACTGTGCTTCTGCTAGCGAAAACTGAGCCTGGGCCAGCGGTGAAATCCTACCGGTTCACTCAGGTTCAGGAGAACTGGTAGGGGTTTTTTTTGTTTCGTTTTTTAGTTTGATTTATATGCCGCCCTTCTCCAGAGACTCAGGGTGGCTTACAATGCGTTAAGCAATAGCCTTCATACTTTTGTATATTTATACAAAGTCAGCTTATTGCCCCCACAAACTGGGTCCTCATTTCACCTACCTTAGAAAGGATGGAAGGCTGAGTCAACCTTGAGCCTGGTGAGATTTGAACTTACAGTAATTGCAGACAGCTGGTGTTAATCACAATGCTTTTAGTCTGCTGAGCCACCAGGTAGTTTTTAGTGATAAAAACTACCAGTTTGGGCGAACTGGTAGTAAAAAAAACCTACCAGTCAGTATTTCCAACAATCAGCTGTGCTGCGCGATTTAAAAGTAGGAAATCCTGCTTTCTAGTGAATCAAAATCGCGTGGCACAGCTGTTCCCCACCCTCGCGGTTATACTTGCCTTCCCAAGCCTCTTTTCCACGCGTTTGATGCATACTGTGAATGTGTGCACGCAGCGTGCGTTTTGTGCGTACTATGCATGTGCATGCAGTGTGTGTTTGGCACGCATTTGGCGCGCACCACACATGCGCGGCCAGCAAACCAGTTCAGATTTCACCACTGGCCTGGGCACGCTGCCCGGACCACTACAGGTGCCTGAGACATGTGATATCAAGCTGGCCACATCCACACTGGCCACACTCACCTGGCCATGCCCCCTCCCCCCGAGGTCAAACACAACCCTTATGCGACCCTCAGTGAAATCGAGTTTGAGAACTCTGCCCTACAGGGAGCTCTTGAAACTCCCGAGAGAGCACACATGCTTCTTACAAATTGCTACCCCGTTTCCCAATTGTTTCCCAAGCCCAAACATACCTCCTGTCCTGGGTTTGTGGTTTACTCCCAGGCTGTGTTGGAAAGAAACCATGTTGTGCAGGCTTTCTTTGGTAACATACAGCAAGATGTTGTCTGGTTTGATGTCTGTGTGGATGATGCGACACTCCTTGTGCAGGAAATGTAAACCTTGGAGGATCTGCATTAGCCAGATACAAAAGGTGGTCAGTGGCACAAATTCTATCCATTGATACACAAGGTCAAGATAAAGACTTACAGGTCAGCCTTGATCCTTGGCAATGATCCCCGGTAGGGTATATAATTTCCTTGGCCACATGATAACAGTGGTTTGCCCTTCTTTCGCTGCCCAGCCTAGCTTTTAACCACCCAAAGACTAATCATTTCTAACTCTGTTTTGCTTCTATGCTCTAGACTGGCCTGTCCCAGGGTTAACAAAAAAGTGTTGCCTCTGTTTATTTCCGAAAACTTCTTTGTGTTGAAATTGTTTCTTCTCAAGCCTCTGATTCCGATCGAGGGAAAGCAGGTTTAAAATGGCCATCCAGAGACTTGGCTTTTTCCCAATGGCGGCTAGCATTAGATCTAAAAGCCATAAAGTGGCTGATTGATTGATTTTGGCATGGCCATTGTGGTTTGCTAGCCATTGCTTATGGTTTAGCCTGTGGAGGGAACTATGCCAATTATGATTTAAACAATTTCAGGATCAGTACAGCATGTGAATAAAACACTCTCTCATCCCTGTGCGGGTAACCAATGTTGAGCAGAGATAGCAAGTAGCAATAGCACTTACCGCTTCACAGTGCTTTTACAGCCCTCTGTAAGCAGTTTACAGAGTCAGCCTATTGCCCCCCAACAATCTGGGTCCTCATTTTACCCACCTCAGAAGGATGGAAGGCTGAGTCAACCTTGAGCCTGGTTGAGATTCGAACTGCCGAATTGCAGGCAGCCGGCAGTCAGCAGAAGTAGCCTGCAGTACGGCACTCTAACCACTGCGCCACCGCAGCTCATACCTTGATACCTTGGTTTAGTGTGCACAACCTAATCTTGCACTTGCGCAAATGGAGCTTTGTGCGCTCATCTGCCACTTGCGCGGCCCGCTTTCCAACAGACCGTGGATCGGTAGCGGTCCATGGATCAGGGATTGGGGGACCTCTGTACTAGAAGGTGTTTCCATTCCACAGGGGGAAAGGAGGAGAATAGGCAACCAGATAGCCCCTCCGTGCACTAAGATCCCCCAAAATGTAGAGTACTGACTCTGGTCCAACCTAGAATCCATAAGGATTCTAGGGAATGTCTATGTGCCGTACATGTGTATGTGTCAAAACCTGCAAGATGCAAGGTGTAGTATTGTGACTGAAGGCCTACCCATTGTGTACAGGCCCGCAAAGGACGCTTGAATCACAATGCCACATCTGCCACTCCGCAGATCTTGGTGCACCCTTCCCCAACCGATGCTCCTTTTCGTTCTTCAGCTCTCCGGTGAAGTCCTACTCACCTGGCGCATGGCCTTCTTGACAAAGGGCAGAGGGAGGCCTTGGGAGCCTCGGATGCTCAGCACAGTCTGCAGCGAAGGTCCCAGGAGCTCCATCACTAAGCACACATGTGGGGCCAAGTCAGGGATCCACTAACTGAGAAGGTTCCTCTAATGCTGACATTGCTCTAAAAGGAAGGAGGTGAGGGCAGCATGGAAACGGGAGGGGAACTTTTTAGCATTGTACCCCATAAAATGTCAACTGAGACAGTCAAGGGCAAACCCAGGGTTATGGGTGCTCCGGGCAAGGCTTTTGGGCAGTGGTGAAATGTAAAATTTGTTACTACCGGTTCTGTGGGTGTGGCTTGGTGGTGGTGGTGGTGGTGGTAATATGACTGAGTGGGCGTGGCCTACTTTTTTTTTTTTTTTTTACTTTTAAAACCATTTTTTCTACAACCTCTTCAGGCCGAAGAGGTTGTAAAAAAATGCTTTTAAAAGCCTCTGACGATCCCAGCTGACTTGCCTGATCGGCAGAGGCTTTTTTTTTTTTTTTAAGCCTCTGACGATCCCAGCTGAGTTGTCTGATTGGCAGAGGCTTTTTTTCTTTTAAAAACATTATTTTCTACAACCTCTTCATCCGATGAGGTTGTAGAAAAAATGCTTTTAAAAGCCTCTGACGATTCCAGTTGTGCCGCACGATCATCAAAGGCCTTTTTTTTACTTTTAAAAGCATTTTTTCGGCCAAAGAGGTTGTAGAAAAAATGCTTTTAAAAATTAAAAAAAAAACTTTGATGATTGCACGGCTCAGCTGGGCATGGCGGGGGTTGGGCAGGGATTTTTGCTACCGGTTCTCCGAACCACCCGCCACCATCACTACCGGATCAGGCGATCCGGTCCGAACCGGGAGCATTTCACCTCTGCTTTTGGGTCTTTTTTTTTTAATATATGTGCGGAGTTTAACTACAATTTCTGGCTCTAAGTCTAAGACATCTTAAGGCTGTAAGACAATGTCTGTGGTTCTCTCTCTCAACCCTCTAAATAAATGGGGCTTTTATTTCTGGGAGATGTGGATAACAACAACAACAACAAAATATCATCATCTAGGAATCTTAGATTATTTTATTTTTTTCCCCACCCCTCTCCCTAAATTTCAGGGCAGCAATCAAGATGACTTCCTGCCTTTTATCCTCACAAACGAGATGGGCAACAGCACTTTCCCCCCAGTTATCAAATGAGGATAATTTGTGGTAGAATAAGAATTTAACAGAATAACAGAACTGGAGGAGATCTTGGAGGTCTTCTAGTCCAGCTCTCTGCTCAAGGAGGAAACAGCAGTAGCACTTTGACTTATATACTGCTTCACAGTGATTTACAGCCCTCTCTAAGCGATTTACAGAGTCAGCATATTGTCCCCAACCATCTGGGTCCTCTTTTTACCGACCTCAGAAGAATGGAAGGCTGAGGCAACCTTGAGCCAGTGAGGATCGAACTGCCAAACTGCTGGCAGCCGGCAGTCAGCGGAAGTAGCTTGCAGTAAAGCATTCTAACCACTGTATCACCACGGCTCAAACCCTGTACCGTTTCAGATAAATGGTTGTCCAACCTCTTTGAATCTAGTTCTCACTGAGGCCAAAGTCCAGCTCTAAGTTGTGAATGCTCTATTATTTTAAGAAGAGATTGGACAACCATTTGTCTGAAATGGTACAGGATCTCCTGCTTGAGCAGGTCCCTTCCAACTCTGTTATTCTTGTAAAATTTGTTCCCATGAATGGGTGGGTGCCAGAGGTGGTATTCAGAAGGTTCTGACCAGTTCTGGAGAACCGATTGTGGAAATTTTGAGTAGTTCGGAGAACCGGTAAATACCACCTCTGACTGGTCCGGCCCCCATCTATTCTCTGCCTCCCGAGTCCCAGCTGATCGGGAGGAAATGGGGATTTTGCAGTAACCTTCCCCTGGAGTGAGGTGGGAATGGGGATTTTGCAGTATCCTTCCCCCGCTACGCTCACCAAGCCACGTCCACCAAGCCATGACACGCCCACCAAGCCACGGCTACAGAACCAGTAGTAAAAAATTTTGAATCCCACCACTGGTGGATGCTCATTGCAGGAATCATTGATTATATTGACCATTGTAATGTTTTGGCTATTCTGTATGTAATCTTGATTTCTGCTACTATCCTAGGTCGCCTCCCTTTGGGATTTCAGCAGGTTGAAATGTTGTTAAACAACCACGTTAATTATTTAATGAAAGTTAAAAGGTCTCCCTTGCATGCCTGCAGTTTTTCAGCCAAAGCCACAAATTCACTGACAGGAGGGAACAGAGAAACCATATTTAGCCAAGTTTCCTGTCAGGGACAGGCTGCGTTTGATGTGGTTCTTCCCTCACACTGTCTGCCCTGAGAGAGAAATTGCTCTTCTGTCAGGCTGCCACACAGAGGTAGGAGAACAGCTGCAGTGCGATTTCATCACCTCTCTGACAGGATCAGCCGTCTTGAGCTTTTTCCAAGCTGTCACCTGATCAGCAGCTCTTCTCCCAAGAACTGTTTTCATCCCAGTTCTCTCAGGGAGCGTTCCAAGAAAGAGCTTGCTTTCCCACCTCCATCTTCACCTCTGCTCTCTTTCCTTATGAATCTTATTTTTGCAAATGAAACCTGAGAGCAGATGCCCTCTCCCTAACGAATCTGCGCAAACCAAACAAAACCACTTTCACTGAATAATTTTTTTTAAAAAAAATTCAAGTGATATTTTAATTCTTCCCTTCATTTTACTGATTGACCAGGCTGGTCCCAGAAGATGGCCTTTTTCCGCAGTGGCCCCTGCTCTGCGGAACATTCTTCCCTTTGGAGATTTAGAATGGCCCCATCCCTGTTAGCCTTTCGTAGGGGCCCTAAAAATCTGGCTATGTTTCCATGATTGGGGTGCTGAACGTGTTAACATTTCCTGGCCGTATTGCTAACTAAATATCTTGCTCCTATGTATATTTAATTAGGATGTTTTTAATGTTTTTAGTTTTAAAATGTTTTTAGTATTTTTACATGTATTATATATATTTTTTGAATTGTAAGCTATCCAGAATCGTTGACTGAGATGGATAGCTATAACATTTTAATAAATAAACTATCCTATCTATCTATCTATCTATCTATCTATCTATCATCTATCTATCTATCTATCTCTATCTATCATCTATCTGTCTCTATCTCTATCTATCATCTCTCTCTCTCTCTCTCTCTCTCTCTCTCTCTCTCTCTCTCTCTCTCTCTATCATCTATCTGTCTCTATCTGTCTCTATCTATCTATCTATCTATCTATCATCTATCTATCTATCTATCTATATCTATCATCTATCTGTCTCTATCTATCTCTATCTATCATCTCTCTCTCTCTCTCTCTATCTATCTATCTATCTATCATCTATCTGTCTCTATCTGTCTCTATCTATCTATCTATCTATCTATCTATCTATCTCTATCTCTATCTATCATCTATCTATCTATCTATCTATCTATCTATCTCTATCTCTATCTCCCTCTACCTCTACCCCCCCTCCCTCCCTCCCTCCCTCCCTCCCTCCCTCCCTCTCTCTCTCTCTCATCATCTTCTGTCCCTGGATACCATCATTAGCCTTGTCAATATTAGCTCCCCCAATTTAGGATTTTCCAGATGTATGGAACTACAATTCCCATCACCACTTCCCATCAGATAAAGAGTGTCATAGTCCATCTTATCTGGAGGACACTCGGTTGGAGGAGGAGGCATTCAGACAATGCAAATCTGGCTTGCTGGCCTTGTGGTCCCTGTGCTATCAACCAAAGGATATGGAAACCATTTTCTCCGATCATTTTGAAATCATCCAAAAGGTGGATGATGTAATCGCTGCCCCGGTCTTTCCTCCTCTTGCTATTCACCTGTTGAAAGAGGAAGAAGAAAAGTGACGCAACAAAGAAAGCTACAGTCTTTTCTCGTGTCATCCCAAAATGCAAAGCAGGGAACTGCAGGCTTAGCTTACAGGAAGAGAGATTTGATTGAGGGCAGGGCCGGATTTTCCTATAGGCTAACTAGGCTTCAGCCTAGGGCCTCAAGATCAAGAGGGGCCTACATTCAAATTGTTAGCAAAATTAAAATTACACTTTCACTATAGGTGAAAGGGCCTCATAAGTGGAATAGCCTAGGGCCTCTTTTCATCTAAATCCGGCCCTGATTGAGGGTTAAGAAAGAATTCTGGAAACGTAAGAGCAGCTTTGCAGGGAAAGTAAGTACCAGAGAAGTGGTGGCTTTTACTTTTCTGGATGTATTCCAGCAGAGGCTAGGTAGCCATCTGTTAGGGATGTTTTAATTTAAATTCCTTCACTGAACAAAAGTTTGGACTGAATGACTCCTGCCAGCCGTATAATTGTACAGAATTTATGCAAATCACTCATTTTTTGAGGCTTGTCTTGAACTGTCCTCAGTCTGCAATTTAGGGATAATTGGAATCTAGATTTATATACACGAGCAGGCACTGGAACAATTGTTCTTTATGGAGCATAGAAAAAATGGGCCCGTCCATTGCACGGCGAGCTACCGCTTAGACACACTGACTGAAGTTGCTGTAGATTAGAAACCTGGTTGGCCTCAGATGTTCTATCGGCCTCCACTGGAGAAGAATAAGTGCCTGTCTCGACAAGCCTTGTGAATCAAGGCGGGATGAACTAGCAGGAACATCTGGATAGACATCTTCCATTTTTTGCTGTTCAACAACCTTCCTGATGACATCACCCTGTGCTCCTCCTCTCCTGCTTAAGGGAGATGAGTGAAATGTGGACCAGATGGTGGGGTACTTGAACATGCAAAAGGTCAGGAGGAGATTCTGCTGGCCAGATGGGCCACCCTGATGAGCCAAACTAGACTTCGTGGGCCAGAGGTTTCCCCCATTCCTTTATAACATGCTGGCTGGGGAATTCTGGGAGTTGAAGTCCACCCCTCTTCAAGCTGCCAAGGTTGAGAAACACTGCTTTATAGATTCTCGAGATTGGAATTCAGATTGGCCTCATCCTGATTCATCTGAAGAACGGTTGCAGGAATTGATTACGGCCAGTCTAGTGAGAAGAAGGACTAGGGGGGGACATGATAGCAGTGTCCCAATATTTGAGGCGCTGCCACAATGAAGAGGGGTCAACCTATTTTCCAAAGCACCAGAAGGCAAGACAAGCAACAATGGATGGAAACTAATCAAGGAGAGAACCAACCTGGGAATTTCCTAACCATTAAGAACCATTAACCCTGGATCGACATGTCTTCAGAAGTTGAGGGTGCTCCATCACTGGAGGCTTTTGAGAAGAGATTGGACAACCATCTGTCTGGAATGAAAAACTGCCTCTTGCATGAGCAGGGGGTTGGACTAGAAGACCTCCAAGGTCCCTTCCAACTCTATAATCTGGTTATTCATTGATACTTACATAGCGAAGGAGCATGACTTCATCCAGGGCTGCCTCAGCAAAATTCTCCCCTCCCTTGGGAACCTTCACAGCCACACACCTCTTTTTCCTGAAATAAAATTAATTGCTTAAAACGAGTGCAGAATAAAAGGTCTTTTTTCTTGGCTTTGTGTTGCCTTGAATTCCATTGGCCGATCTTTCGGACATTGGCTTACATTATCCCGTTCTGGCAATGGAAATCCATTGATGAAGCCTGCTTTCAAAGGGCAACTTTTAAAAGTAAAATGGGATGTGATGGTTTCCTTGAAAGAATTGAATATTGAAGTGGATAGGTCAGTGTTGGCAAACCTTTACATCACTCTGTGCCAAAACGGAAGCCCGCATACACGCGGGGGAGCACCGGAAACCAGAGGAACAGTTCCCCGGCGCACATGTGCACCTGGGAAGCTGAGCTTCTGGTTTCTGGCGTGCGCATCAGAGGTGGGTTTCCGCAGGTTGTGACCAGTTCTGGAGAACCGGTAGCGAAAATTTTGAGTAGTTTGGAGAACCGGTAGTAAAAATTCTGACTGGCCCCACCCCCATCTATTCTCTGCCTCCCGAGTCCCAGCTGATTGGGAGGAAATGGGGATTTTGCAGTAACCTTCCCCTGGATTGGAGAGGGAATGGAGATTTTACAGTATCCTTCCCATGCCATGCCCAACAAGCCATGCCCACCAAGCCACACCCACAGAACCGGTAGTAAACATTTTTGAAACCCACCACTGGTGCGCATGTGCACCGGTTACCTGGTCTTCCTGTTTATAGCGTGCATGCATGCGTGAAGAGCAGCTGGCCAGCGCGCATGTACATGCCAGAACCCAGAAGAGCACGGGCGACGGCTGGCGTGCCCGGAGAGATGGCTCTGTGTGCCACTTCCAGCACGAGTGCCATAAGTTCGCCATCACTGGGATAGGTGTAGCTGGTAAGGTACAATACAAGGAGGACAGATATCTCCTAGCCAAACCCAGAGTAGGAAATAGATGTGTGGGAGGAGAATATGTGCTAGGCAGGTGTCAGATGCAAATAACCAGGAACATTAATTGAATTCAATATACAGAAGAGTTTATTATTGCTACCTATAACACAAAAATCTGGTCTAGTGCTAAACTGGCACTAGATTAGAGTCAATGGAATTCATGGAGGGCTGGATTTGGGATGATTCCAAACTGATGACATGTTTAACTCTGCCCTTCCAGCTAGGCCTGCTCTTTTGTTACAGCAAGATAGACATCTCATCATGGAGAGGAGGGATCTATTAAGGATGCCTCTGTTGCAAAAAGGGAAAATCTCTCAGGTCCGTATTTCCTCTGCTCCCAAGATTTCAGCACCCAACAGCACTAATATCTGGTTCCCTAAACCTCCCCCAGGGCTGAATCCAGAGAAAAATGCCAGACCATCAACGACCCTCTAATTTTAAAGGACTGAGCTGTTCTAGGGAAGCAAAGCTTAGAATTCTATTTTCCCTTGTAGCCTGATATGAACTTATTCCCTTCACCCAGGTAGACCAGCTATGAAACTCGTAATGTGACTGGGTGGGCGTGGCCAACTTTTTTTTTTTACTTTTAAAAGCATTTATTTACAATCTCTTCGGCTGAAGAGGTTGTAAAAAAAATGCTTTTAGGAGCCTCTGACAATCCCAGCTGAGTTGCTTGATCATCAGAGGCTTTTGTTTTCTTTTAAAAGCATTTTTTGGGCGGAAGAAAAAATGCTTTAAAAAAAAAAAGCCTCTGATGATCGCGCGGCTCAGCTGGGCATGGAGGAGGGCAGGGATTTTTGCTACTGGTTCTCCGAACCACCCACCGCCATCGCTACTGGATCGGGCGATCCGGTCCGAACCAGATGTGAAGTTTCCGAAAGATGCCCTAATTAATTCATGAGCCATGAGCCGAACTTCAAAAGAAATACAGTCATTTATTAGGACCACCATTTCGGGAATATTCGGATGCAGTTAGAACTAATCCCACGTAGATTTACGTTCCCCTATGACCCTGTCTCTCCCCTCCTCTCTGGCCATGTCATAAATCACATTCTCCAATTTACCACTTTGACTGGCTGTGAAATCCAACAGCCTCCTTCTGATTGCAGTCAGGAAGAATGTATGGAATGCACTTCAGTTAGGGAAATCAATCAGCTCTATCAGTTCTCCCTCCCTCCTGCTCATGGCAACTTGAAAGCTTTGCAAGTTGACACTGGAAGCATTTCACCCCTGCCATTATGCAGCTGTGGGCTATGCTGTCTCTTACCTGACTGCGCCCCTTCCCCTTTTGTTTTCCAAGGTCATTCCCACATACTATTACATCTAAGTCGCTCTTCCAGCCAGTTTAAGAAAGGCATTGCTGATCTCTTCAGCCTTTCCTCTAGTTCCCAGGTTCCAATGCTGGCTTTTTTCAAATGAAGAGCATAAAGCACTTTCAACCAATGTCTCTGTGCGATTATTCCATCCTTTCCTACTCGGTGGATTGTTTTGAGATGAAGGGAAAAAAGGATGGTAGAAGAAATAGAAAGACATCTATTACTGTGATGGAATGTAGGAAGGAGTGGCTGCATTCCAGAGGGCAAAAAGGCAGCAAAGCTTAGACAGTTTGATCAGGAGAAAGAGAATTAAGAAGGTTCCTCCCTAGGAATTCTCAAAATAGTATGTATAGTGATGCAAATAGTTGCTTTAGTTGGGCAAGATTTCTGTCTGTAGGTGAGGAACAACAAAGGAAACTGCTCTGAAGTAATTCTATGTGTCTTCCTTGGTTCTTGGGCCTGTCAGTTACTGACAGAAAACCAAGATTGCTTGGACAATCCGTGCAGTTACTAAGTGAGACAGAACGATTGCATAATGAAAAGGTCTATCTGGAAGCATCTTTGATGTGTGCTTCTCATGAATTATTTGTCTACTGACTTCCAGGAAAGCCATGGTGAATTGAAAACGACTCTGCTGAGAGCAGAGCTTATGACCATGGTAGAACAAGGATCCAGCAAATGGACCGGTTTCTCAGAATTCCTCCCCAGAGAAGGAGCATATTGGAGATCGCTCACAACATCGCTCCAGATATTAGCTCCTCAGAGACCCTATGAGTTTACAGCTCTAGGAGCTGAATTAGTGCCATTTTTACCCAAACCAGGGGTGAAATCCAGCATGTTCTGACAGATTCTGGAGAACCGGTAGCGGAAATTTTGAGCAATTCGGATAACCAGCAAATAACACCTGGCTGGCCTCAGAGTGGGGCGGGAATGTAGATTTAGCAATATCCCCCAGGAGTAGGGAGGGTATGGGGATTTTATAGTATCCTTCCCCTGGAGTGGGGTGGGAATGGAAATTTTGCAGTATCCTTCCCCTGCCATGCCCACCAAGCCATGGCCATCAAGCCATGCCACACCCACCAAGCCAAGACTCTGGGTTTACCTATTTCTTTCTTAATAACTTCTGAGAATGGCTTGTTAACAGGTGAGGATATATATATATATTTAAATGAATGAATGAATGGTTTTCAGAAAAGCGTGTTTCCTCACACCAAATGAGTTTCCTTCAATCTTTGGCAAAAGAAGTTTTATGCAAGTTTAAGGACTTAAAAAAATCTTAATTTGGAATAAACAGCAAAAGGATGATTAGAATGTTCATTTTGGAAAGTTTAAAACAGATTAAGGGGCCAGATTGTTTTGAAATAAGAGTTTAAAATTAATGACAAGAATTCTTTCCTGTGGGAAAATTCTGTTGATTAAAAAAAATATATAAGATTGGATTTTGAAGGTTGGACGTTAGAGAGAACCGAAAAGAAGCAAAGATTATAAATAAAGGAGAAAAGATCCATTAATACTGAATGGAGCAATGTAAGGATATTTGGGAACAACGCAGTCAGAAATTATTCTTAAAATTGTCTGCTATCATAAAACTTGATTCAAAAGGGATTATAGAAGAGGAACTGGTTTTACTGGATAAAACAGAGACTGAGGCTGATTCCAATGTGAATTTTAAAATGACAGGTTATTATAATGATATGGAAAATGATATGTCACACTGGATTTACAAATAAAACTAGCTGATGACTTAATAATTAAAAGGGATATGCAAATAACAAATCACAAAAAAATGGCTCGGATAACTATTTTGGATTTACAAACAAGAAGTGTTAAAGTTTTGAAGGACAATGAAAAGGAATCAAGTTCCGGGACACTATTTAAAGAGATTAGAGATGAAAATTATTAAAAGCCAACGAAAAAATACAAAGTTAATTTATTTGATTGAGATTAAAATATATATGTTGTTGTTTCTGGTAACTCTTAATGGATTTTTTGCTGACAAATTACAATAGTTTAAAGATTTGTTTATAGACACAAGCTGAGATACAGGAAGAAGAGACTGTTCATTCTATTTTCAGTAGTATCAGAGAAAGTGCTAAATTCCTGAAATTGTTTTTACTTGTCAAGATGAAGGGGAATTCGTTTATATCTATCTTCTTTTTTCTTTTCTATGTATATTTTTTCTTTCTTTTAAATATTTTCCTTGCACTTTTTCCCTTTTATTCTTTTACATTTTTCTTAGTTCTAAACTAATTTTAAAAAAATGAATGATTTGTCAGCCAACCTGAGTACTTCTCAGTGAACCATGGTGGCACAGAACCATGGTGCGGCAGTGGTTAGAACAAAGTATTGCAGGCTAATTCTGCCGACTGCCAGCAGTTCGATCCTGACCGGCTCAAGGTTGACTCAGCCTTCCAGCCTTCCGAGGTTGGTAAAATGAGGATCCAGATTGTGGGAGGCAATATGCTGACTCTGTAAACCGCTTAGAGAGGGGGGTGTACACAGGGCCGTCTTAACAGCATTATGGGCCCCTGGGCAAAGCAATGTACTGGGGCCCCTACGACAACTACTCATAGGAAGAAAAATGTAAATGGTTGATAAAATTAAACATATATTTGCATGTTAGTATTAATAAAAAATGCAGTAAAATGTAATAAATATGTTGCTGTATTTATATGATACAAGGTGCATTGAAGGGTTAACATACACAGATTAGCATGGGGCCCCTATGCTCATGGGGCCCACAGGCAATTGGCCATCAGGCCCATGTGTTAAGACAGTCCTGGGTTACATCTCTGTCCTTTCTCTGTAAGGTTTACTGGCACCACCACTTCAGGGTTTTGAACGCCAATCTTCTCTTACACCCACACTGGAATTAAAACTTTTTTCCATGCCAAAAATATGATTCCACCTAGCTATAAACCCTCCTTCAACAGCAGAATGCACACTTATGATTTCCTACAGATTATCAAAAAGTTAATTAAGATCTGGTCATTTTGTTTACTCACCCAGCATCTTGGCAAAGCCAGACTGTTGAAAAGTACCCATAGCCCAGATTTTGGACCACGTGGTATCTTCCATTGAATGTCTCTCCTTTCTTCACCGGATAGTAGCCGTCTGCAAAAAGGCAGAAATTAGAATCACTATGTTACTACAGCTAGTTTTCGACTTGCAACCATCCATTTAGTGAACCTTCAAAGTTACAGGATTGAAAAATGTGACTTACATCCAATGTAGCATCCCTGCTGTCACCTGATCAAAATTTAATTGCTTGGCATCTGGAGTGTATTTACAATGGTTATACAGCATCCTGGGGTCATGCTAAGCAAAGTCAATGGGAAAAGCCAGATTTGTTTAAAGGCAGCATCGTTCATTTAACAACTGCATGACTCACTTAACAACTGCCTAGCTTAACAATGGAAACTCAACTCAATTCTGGTTATAAGTGAAGGAACATTTGTAAGAGACATCCAAAGTCTGGTGGCTTAGTTTTACAATGATATATACTTCAGAATATAACAGGAAGCCCCTTCTGCAATGAGATTAATCTGAAGATAATTTAAGAAGATTCTCAAATGCGCAGTGAACTTGCTAATTATGTTTACCTTGTCTCTCTAACACCCATCTCCTCCCACTTATGACTGTAACCTTGTTGCTGGTATCCTTAAGATTTATATTGACTGTTTCCCTATGACTATCATTAAGTGTTGTACCTTATGATTCTTGACAAATGTATCTTTTCTTTTATGTACACCGAGACAAATTCTTTGTATGTCCAATCGTACTTGGCCAATAAAGAACTCTGTTCTATTCTATTCTATTCTATTCTATTCTATTCTATTCTATTCTATTCTATTCTATTCTATTCTATTCTATTCTATTCTATTCTATTCTATGGCTGTGTGTGTGTATGGCACACTGAATCGCAAAGGCATTTTTGCCTATGTGGGGAATCTGCTGTTGAATCTTTAAGCCATGTATTTTTGTGTGTGTTATGATTATAGGTATGTGAGGTCTAGGAATATTGTATCATATTTTTGCCTAGTACATGTTCCCTGTGGTTGTTTTATGGTTCAATGCAAGCTAGAGCTTTGGCTAAGTCATTGCTCGCGTAATCATGGACAAATGTGTTGTGTTATCACAGATTATAGAAGTTGCCTTAATAATTTCTCTTATATGTCTGCGAGGTGGGGGGGGGGAGAAGAGAGGGAAGAAAAGTTGCACTGGAGATGGTTTATTTAGTCAAGGTTTATTGAATTAGCCGTAACTACAACCACACAACATCAAGCTGTTTGGTGGTTTGCAAACCCACATTAATGTGGCTCAGATAGTATATTGAATCCAAATCAAATCAGCCACAGGGTGAAGCTTCTGTGTAGGGGAGCAATAATAAACCCCAGTGGGGAGATACCAACTATAGTAGGCATTCCCCAGCCTTATCCTGTTGCCATTTTGCTGGATGAGACTCTCAGCAAGCGTTTGTGTAGCAGACTTTGTCTAACACCCCCCCCCCACAACCAACATCTGTAATACAGGTAGTCCTCGACTTACAACAGTTCATTTAGTGACCGTTCAAAGTTATAACGGCACTGAAAAAAAAGTGACTTATGGCCATTTTTCACACTTACAACCATTGCAGCATTCCCAAGGTCATGTGATTTACATTCAGATGTTTGACAACTGACTCACATTTATGACGGTTGCAGTGTCCCAGGGTCATGCCAGATCCCCTTTTGCGACCTTCTGACAAGCAAAGTCAACGGCGGAAGTCAGAGTCACCTAACCACCACCGCGTTACTGATTTAAAAACTTCAGTGATTCACCTAACAAACGTGGCAAGAAAAGTCATAAAAATGGGACAAAACTCCCTTAACAATTTCTTCACTTAGCAACATAAATCTTGGGCTCAATTGTGGTTGTAAGTTGAGGACTACCTGTACATTAAACACTTTTATACCACTTTTAAAATGTTGAAATCATCATCGTCATCACCATCACCAGCCGTATATAGGTAGCCCTCGGCTTACAATCACAACTGAACCCAAAATTCCCATTGTTAAGTAAGGCAGTTGTTAGATGAGTTTTGCCCCATTTTATGACCTTTTTTGCCTTTTGACCTTTAAGCGAATTGCTGCAGTTGTTAAGTGAATTATACAGTGATGAACAAATCTGGCTTCCCCCATTGACTTGGCTTGTCAGGAGCCAGCTGGGAAGGTTACAGATCACATGACCCTTGGATAGTGCACCTGTCATAAATACACGCTACTTGTTAAGTATCTGAATTGTGATCAGGAATGCTTCAACGGTAGTAAGTGAGAAAACTGATCATAATTCATTTTTTTCAATGCTGTAACTTCGAAAAGTCACTAATCGAATGGTCATAAATTCAGGACTACTCATAGTCCACCTCGTCTGAGCCCCTTTGCCCATCTGGCTACCAAATAGAAATCTACCTTTGACCACAAACCTACTAGTTAACTTGGGATAGAGCTAGTTTGATGTAGTAGTTAAAGCACCGGGCAAGAAATCAGGACACTGTGAATTCAAGTCCAACTTTAGGTGCAAAATGACCTTAAGCTAGTCATGTTTCTCAGCCCTAGGAAGGAAGGAAGGGCAAACCACTTCCCAAAAACCTTGTCAAGAAAACTGCAGGGACTAGTCCAAGCAATCGCCAGGAGTCAAAAACGTTGTCGCTCTCTCTCTCTCTCTCTCTCTCTCTCCCTATCCCTATCCCTATCCCTATCTATCTCTATCTCTATCTCTATATCTCTATCCCTATTGTCTCTATATCTCTATCTCTATCATCTCTCTATCTCTATCTCTATCTCTATTTCTATTTCTATCTCTATCCCTATCATCTCTCTATCTCTATCTCTATCCCTATCACCTCTATATCTCTATCTCTGTCTGTGTCTGTGTCTGTGTCTTTCTCTCTTTCTCTCCTTACCTACCTACCTACTCACCTACTTTTGAGATAGTCAACTGGCCTGGTCAGACATCGTACTTAGAAATAATGTGATTTTGATTATGGCGGCAGGATGGCTCAGCAGTTAAGACACTGGGCTTGTCAGCTGGAAAGTCGACAGCCCGCGTTTGAGACCCGAGCGCTGTGCGATAGTGCAAGTTCCCGTCACTTGGCCCAGCTCCCGTCCATCTAGTTGTTTGAAAGCAGGCAAATGCGAGGAGATACTATTTTGGTGGGAGGATAACAGCACTTGGAGGCATAATGCTGGTAACATGACTGTGGAAACATCTTTGGACAGCACTGGCTCACAACCTTGAAATGGAGATGAACACCGCCCCCCCCCCCCTAGTCAACGATGACTAGCGGCATAAAATCCACAGAGACTCCTTTCCTTCCTAATGTAGCCACAGCCCTGTCATCTACCTCAAGGCAGTGGTGGTATTCAGCCAGTTCTTTCTGGGTCGGGCGAACTGGTAGCGGCGGCTGTGAGAGGCTCCGCCCACCCACCCAGATGTCATCACATCCTGTTTTTGACAGGAAGGCTCTGCGCATGCTCACATTTGCAAACCAGTAGCGAAGGTAAGTGAATACCACTCCTGCCTCAAGGGTTGGTTAATCCAAGGCTAAGCAGAACTTGCTTGCAACTCACCTTCACCAGAGGTCAAGGAGGGTTCCTCCATGGCAACGCCCTTCAAAGGGGAAGCGTTCCTGGGTCTGTTTAGGCTGAGGAGGTTTTACATCTAAGAGCAGAAGGAGTTCAACCCAGTCAGTTGTAGGTTGACACTTACCAGGAGCAAGAAAAGACATGCACACATAGACACACACACACCTGCAACTCCCAACCTCTTATAAAGGATAGCTACACATTTAAGTGAATAGATGAAAGCAGGGGTAGGCTGCTGGGGATTTGCAGGGATTTGGGAGAACTTCTACCTAAAATTCTGTGCAGTTCGGAGAACATCCAAATCCCACTCCTGGCTGGCCCTGCCACCCTCCCCTCCCAGAAGTCCCCACATGGCCCGTTTTGGATGCAGGTAAGTGCAGGGCGTGTATGGAGGCTCGGGGAGGGCAAAAAATGGGCCTACCGGAAATTCAGAAAGAACTCCAGAGGACCTCCAGAACCTGAGGAGGCCGTTTTTGCCCTCCTGGGGGCTCAAGGAAAACCTCCGGAGCCCCGGGAGAGCAAAAAGTCCCCCCCCCCTGCCGTGGTGCAAGGGGCCGACTAGACCATGCCCACCATGGCCACACCCAACCAGCAACCGGGCAGAGAACCCCTTGCTAAAAAATTTTAAGTCCATCCCTGGATGAAGGGTGATTACCAGGAGTGATCAGTCTAGATTTCATGGCTATGCACAACTTCTGAGCCTCTTTTATTGCCGCCTCCCTAGGCCTTTTGTCCAAACATAATGACATAAAAGAGGAAAGTTAGGGTTTTCAGCCACGTTGAGGAGAGAAATACTTGAAATCTGTGGTGAAAACCCTAAAATAACTTTAATTCCATCCCAGAAGATACAATGGCACACTATTTCCAATGGCCATATTGCAGTGGTGAAATCCAAATTTTTTTACTACCAGTTCTGTGGGCGTGGCTTGGTGGGCGTGGTGTGGCTTGGTGGGTGTGGCAGGGGAAGGATACTGCAAAATCCCCATTCCCTCCCCACTCCTGGGGGAAGGATATTGCAAAATCTCCATTCCCACCCCATTCTGGGGCCAGCCAGAGGTGGTATTTGCCAGTTCTCCAAACTACCGGTTCTCCGAATTACTCAAAATTTCCGCTATTGGTTCTCCAGAACCTGCTGGATTTCACCCCTGCCATATTGTCAAGGAAGTCCATAGGAGTCAAATTCAAAGTAGACATTAGACTTTTGAACTGGCAATAAAGTGTCGTGGTTAAGGGGTTGGACTGATACCAGAAAGTTCCCTCATTCAAGTCCATCCTCAGCATTGGAAGCCTACCAGGTGCTTTGGGTCCTGTCCCTCTGCCTTGTAGGGTGGCTGCAGGTTCTCCTGCCTAAGAGTCACTTCAAGGTAAGCCTGTTGGGTGTTTCTGTTCCCAGGTTCATTTCCCCATCAGGAATAAAATTGTCAGGGCAAAGGGCAACTAGGCAAACCAGGCTGCTTACATTACAGCTCATTTCCACCTCAAGGATGAGTGAGCCACAAGAAGTTGGACTCAATGGTCTGATTGAGTTCTATGGTATGATTCTATTATCTTAATATTGTAGTATCTGTGACACTCAAGATGCTCGTAGATTGATAGAAGTGGATGAGAGCTTCCTACAGTTTCAATCAATTAGTCAATCAATCAATCAATCAATCAATCAATCAATCAATCAGAATAGAGATGGAAGAGACCTTGGAGATATTCTAATCCAACCCTCTACTCAAGCAGGAGACCCTATACCATTTGAGACAAGTGGCTGTCCAGTCTCTTCTTAAAAACTTCCAGTGAGGAAGCACCCACAACTTCTGAAGGGAAGCTGTTCCACTGGTTAATTGTTCTCGCTGCTAAGAAGTTTCTCCTTAATTCCAGGTTGCTTCTCTGCTGGATTACTTTCCATCCATTATTTCTTGTCTTGCCTTCTGGGGCTTTGGAAAATAAGTTGACTCCTTCTTCCTTGTGGCAGCCCCTCAAATAGTTGGAATGCTGTTATCAGCATTCCAGCGAGCTGCACTGGCTCCCGGTGGTCTTCCGGGTGCGCTTCAAGGTGTTGGTGACCACCTTTAAAGCGCTCCATGGCTCAGGGCCGGGATATCTACGAGACCGCCTTCTGCCACCAATAGCCTCCCACCGGCCAGTACGCTCGCACAGAGTGGGCCTCCTCAGGGTGCCGTCCGCCAGACAGTGTCGGCTGGCGACCCCCAGGGGGAGAGCCTTCTCTCTGGCGGCGCCCGCCCTCTGGAACAACCTCCCCCCAGAGATACGTATAATATCAGACCTCCGGATTTTTCGTTGAAAACTGAAAACTTATTTATTTCAACTAGCCAGGCTGGCTTGATCCCACAGTTTTTGGGTAAATTTTAATTGATTTTAAATTGGGTTTGTTTTAAATTGCGGCCAAAAATATTTAATTATTTTAAACTGTTTTTAGATTTTGTATGTTTTGTTTTTATTTTGGCTGTTCACCGCCCTGAGTCCTATTGGAGAAGGGCGGTATACAAATTGAAACAAACAAACAAACAAATAAATAAATAAATCATGTCACTCCTAGTCCTTCTTTTCTCTAGACTGGCCAAATCCTCCAACCATTCTTCATATGTTTTTGTCTTCAGGCCTTTAATCATCTTAATTGCTCTTCTGTGCACTTTTCCCAAAGTCTCAACATCTTTTTTGTAAAGTGGTGACCAAACTGGATGCAGTATTTCGAGTGTAGATTGTCCTCCTTTTATCACAGAATTATGAAATTGAAAAGGGCCATGAGGCCACTGAGACCAACCCTTCCCCACAAATACACACAAATGTACGGACACAATTCAATTTGTAATGCAACACAATGCAATAGGCAATCATGAGTTATGTTTTTCCACTCTCTTTCTACCATTTTCACACTGGTTTTATCCATTCGCCTATTTCTATCGCTTTGAATTCTGGAACAGGCCTGCTGGGGAGGTCACAGCAGGAGTTATTTCAGGGATTTGCATGCAAATGATAGCGGGCAAGTCTAGCCATCGCTGCTCTGTGCCGCAGGGACCTGGAACAATACCAGGATGAGATATCGGGTTCTTTGGGTTCTCTGGCTGGATTTTCAGAAAGATTAGAGGAGATTGCAAGGAAAGGCTCTTGCATTCCTGTTGGGAAGCTTGGTTAATCTGGTCTTGTGTGAATCAATTTGGACACCTATTTCCAGAGAAGAACGATGGAACTTCTCAAACACTCTCTGTTTAACCTGTTCTGGTTACCTATTCAGCTCTATCAGCCTTTAATGGAGGGAAAGAAAATCTGGGTTAACACTGGGAAATAATTTTGGCTACAGCTATTTCATCTCTACATGGGATGTGGTGGCTCAGTGGCTAAGACGCTGAGCTTGTCAATCGAAAGGTCGGCAGTTCAGCGGTTCAAATCCTTAGTGCCATATAATGGGGTGAGCTCCCGTTACTTGTCCCAGCTTCTGCTAAATTAGCAGTTCAAAAGCACATGAAAAATGCAAGTAGAAAAATAGGAACCACCTTTGGTGGGAAGGTAACAGCGTTCCGTGTGCCTTTGGCGTTTAGTCATGCCGGCCACATGACCACGGAGAGTCTTCGGACAGCGCTGGCTCTTCGGCTTTGAAACGGAGATGAGCACACCGCCCCTTAGAGTCGGGAACGACTAGCACATATGTGCAAGGGAAACCTTCACCTTTACCTATTTCATCTCTAAATTATGAGACACGTGGGATAAAACCTCAGTTTAATAGAGCATTGGAGGAGGAGGAGGAGGAGGCTCTGTTACATGATCCAAATGTCCATTAAATAGAAATTTACATTATTTGCATCAATTTATATCGTATTTCAATAATTTAGCAATAATATTTGTCAATGGTTTCACTATCATAATATTGTGGTGCTATGTACGTTTTTATTTCTGTAACCTACTGAAGGTCACAAGATTTTAAACAGGTCACCCATATGTATATATTGTTCTGTATTCAATTAATAAAACCCATTTAAAAAAAAAATCAAGGACTTGTTTTTTAAATTGATTTTTTTTACTGCAAATGTGTTATTTGCAGTAGGGAATCAATTAAAAAAAAACAATTCATTGATTTTTTTTTTAAAAAAAGGGTTTATTAATTGAATACAAAACAACCCCCCAAAATCACTTTTTTTGCTTTAATGTGAAATGGAAGCAGTATGAATTTAAAACATTGTCTCTTGAATATCAAGTCTTCCATAGCTATTTGATGTATTATAAAAAGTAAAGCCAGACTTTGAGCCCTCATTGATCAATATTATTGATTGGTTATTGATCAATTTATTTGATAAACGAATACAGTCAATAAATAAATAAATGAATAAATGAATAAATAAATAAATAAATAAATAAATAAATAAATAAATAAATAAATAAATAAATAAATAAATAAATAAATAAATTGAGATTAAGAATATTTGAGTGCCCACAATTCATTCTAACTCTGGTTACTCCTCCCAATGTTTGCCATTAACAAACACACTAGATGGTGAGTGGACTTCCCAATAAAGAGCATATGGTGGGCTGCCATTTGTCTGACAAGGTGGCTGACTTTTTCCCCCTATATATGCTAAAGAAATCCATGTAATTAGGTAGCAAAATCAAGAGGTTTGACACCTAAGGAAACGGGGCATTCATCCAGGCTAGTTAAAAATCAAGCCAACTTCAGGAGCTTCTGAAGTTCTCAATGATCCATTTTTGTCTTCCTAAGACTAGAAATAGGTCCTGGAGCCGGACCAGATTATCTTTCACTAAAATCCAGCAAATGCATGAAACTTACGTCTTCTGCAGTGTCAGGATGGTAGCCCAGCTCATTCCCTGGATGCACCCTTTAAGCAGATTGTGGGGGACACCACTTCCTGATCAGACAGGCTTTGGCGCTTTGGGGAGTATCATCCAAGAAGCTTTTGCCCGCTTCTCTTTTTAGTCTCTGGAAAGAGGCTCATCTGGAAAGAGAGAGGGTGGGCGGGAGGGTGGTCCCAAATCCCCTGGCATAGCTGTGTCAAGGAGAGAGAGTTTGGATTGGACTGCGCTCAAGTCTCCAGTGCAACTCAGGGCCAGGACAGCTGGGAAGTTCTTGCTTTACCATTCCTTCTCGTCGCTCCACACCTGTTGCCACAGCTTCCTTCTTTGCTCTCTAATATTTTCCTGGCTCTGTTGCTGCTTTGCTGCCAAAGCAAAATCTGGAATCTCCCGGGTGGGTATTTATAGATCAGCATTTACAGATAGCCAGGGGAGAAATGCAAACTTTTATACTGTACAGTTGGCTGACTCTCACCCTCGAGCTATTTTTTCCTGTATGTCCATGAGAGGAGAAAGGCATACTGGGCCCATATGCAGAGATCTTGCTGCAGCCCATAGGCCTACTACATACCCATCCTTCTCTGGGAAATTGAGGTTGGGCTGGCAGGTTTAGGACTCTCCTCCCTGCCATCAGTCATTCATTGTAAGGGCAGGGGATTGTCACGTTAAAATGATTTTAAAAAATATTTATTCACTTACTGTATATCCTACTTTTATTATATTGGAAGAAATATCCTTCTGGGTTCAGTTCGAAGTGGGGAAAACATGGAGACTGCTTGGAAAGATGGTTTAATGGTGGACAGGATCACATGGTTTGAGTTCCTGAACAGAAAAGGGCCAAGATGCTGAGTGTGCCTTGGTTTTATGCCCTCTCTGAGCTTTGAACTTCCTGGGGCACAGGAAGAGTATCCTGATTGGTTGTCAGACTCCCAGGGGGTGGGGGGTCTTAGCTAGCCTTGCTGGCTGATGTAATCTTTGCAGGTGCCATATCGTGAGTTTCTGTTGCTAGATGGGTCCTATTGTGTTGCTGATGATGGTCGATTGACAAAGGTGGGGGGAATGAGTGAGCTTGGCTGAGGCCTTAATGGCCTATTGACAAAGGTGGGGGTAGGCAGGAAGCTGCTTTGTCTTTAAAACATGCTTCTCCATTTCTCATCCAGGGAGGTATAATATTCTGCCTTTTTAATATTTCCTAAAATATTTCATTCTTCTAGGAGAGGGGTGGGTGCTAACTTCCTACAATTATTATAAAGAATAATTCAGTGTGGTGAACATATCCAACACACCTTCCTCCTCCTACAAGTAGTCCTCAACTTACGGCTGCAATCAAGCCCAACATTTCTGTTGCTAGGTGCCACGGATGTGAAGTGAATCTGTCTTCCTCATTGACTTTGCATTGCAGCTGTCATAAATATGAGTCAGTTGCCAAAGGGTCTGAATTTTGATCATGTGACCACAAGGATACTGCAATAGCCATAAGTCTGAAAAACCATCATAAGTTGCTTTTTTTTAAATTGCCATTGTAACTTTGAACAGTCACTAAACGAACTGTTGTAAGGCAAGGACGACCTGTATTTTCCTCACAACAACCAACCTGTGAGGTAAGTTAGGTTGAGAGAGAATGACTGGCCCAAAGTCACCCAGCTGGCTTAGCTTTTATGGCTAAGGCAGGACTTTCTAGCCTGGTGCCTTAAGCACCAGATCAAACTGGGAATCATTCTTCTTGTGAGCATTTCCAATAGTGTAGATTGCACATCATGTTTAGCAATAATGTGACTTGTGCTTTGTAGTTTTAGTCTACTGTGTGGAAACACTGACTTCTAGTTTATTTGATAAATCCTGGTTTTACTTAAGCTAATTATTTAGCATGTATGAATCAGATCAGTCTCCTCTCTCTCTCTCTCCCTCTCTCTCTCTCTCTCTGTAGATTATTTCTATGATTTGCACATGGGCCAGTTTGTCAAAAGTCCCCTACCAAGTTCCTGCAAGAGCTATCTTTGGTGACTTCTTGATTCACAATACAAATCTCTTTTAAAAACTTCAAACACAGCAGCCAAAGAAACAAAATATTCAAAGGAAAAACAGCCACCTTTAAAAAAAAAAACCCAACCCTTTCAAATTATGTTTTCAAAAAAGCTTACAGCACTTAAGAAACCCAATACAATATGACAATGGTCTCTTGGCTGAATAGGTCATGGCATCTCCTGAAGGCAGAAGGGGACAAAATCTTGCTTCAAAGACAGATTTGTCCAGTGTAGCCCAATCTGTCTGATCTGGTCCAAAAAGTGTCCACCAGATTTTGATGGTGGCATGATAAAACATTTGCTTGCATAGCTTTATCCCCAAGCGTTTGGGAGTTGCAAGTTTTGGTAAGACATCTCTTTCCCTGGGGTTTTGTGGGAATTGTGTCCACACTACATAAATGTATGGTGCTAAATGCTTGTGTGTCATGTATAAATAGTGCCCTGCTGGATCAGACTCCTAGCCCATTTCATCCAGCAGGCTGTTCTTAAGAGTAGCCAACCAACTGCACAAAGAAGCCCATTAAGTCTGCTGGCAGGTGGCCTCATACATCACCATCATGACTAATAACCATGGATTCCCAGGACTTTCATCAAGTGGTCCAACCCATTTTTGCCAACCATCCAATGTGATAGCTAGCCTTGCATAGCATTGCAGTGCATTCCAAAGCTTAATTACAAGTTGTATTAAAAAAAATATGTTTCTCCTCATTCTTCCAGGATTCATTTTTATTGGGTGACTTTTGATTCTGGTGTTGGTGGTTATTCAGAATTATGCTCAGCCAAAATGTAGGCGGCTTAATGTTGGCTTAATGTATTTGTGGCTTACAGGGAAACTGAGCCAGTTTATGATTTGTTTTAGCAAATCATGGTTAAAACAAACCACGTTTTAAAGCATTTGCATAAGCAGGTCACTTGTAGATGCTAAGAATACAGAAGAAAATATGTAAAGGGATTCAGAACTGTCACCTGTCTTTCTGTCAGTCTGTCTTAATAGCAGGATAATCAGGGGTGGGTTCTACTTACCTTTACTACCGGTTTGCAGTGGGACCACGCGCGCGTGCTACCTTTGCTCACATGTGCACGCTCTTCTGCGCATGCGCGGAAGCATTCTGGTGACGTCGAGGTCGGTGGGCGGAGCCTCCCGCCGGTTTTACTACCGGTTCTATAGCACTGGTCAGAACCGGGGGCAACCCACCACTGAGGATAATACTATAAAAACTAAATACTTGGCAGGATCTTCTCCTGCCATCCTCCCATCGTCCTGTGCGCTCCCACAGAGCGGGCCTCCCCAGGGTGCTGTCAGCCAGACAATGTCGGCTGGCGGCTCCCAGGGGGAGAGCATTTTCTGTGGGAGTGCCGACTCTCTGGAACGGATTGCTTAGGACAGCCCCTGACCTCCTCTCCTTCCGCCGCGAACTGAAGACGTGGCTCTTTCATCAAATGGGCTGACCCGTTGGGGGATTTTTACATTGAAATAATTTTAATTAATTTTTAATTGAATTTTAATTTTTATGTAATTTTCGAATTTGTTGAATGTTTTCTTTGTAAGCCGCCCTGAGTCCTTCGGGAGAAGGGCGGCATATAAATTACATCAATAAAATAAAATAAATAAATAAATAGAACAGTGTTAGATTTGGTACGAGGGGAGAAGCTGACAAAATAAAGATTGAAAATGATCCTGACCTAGCCTCCCATTTCATGCCAATGAGAACATCTGGGCTGTGACTTGAAATATCGGACAGTGAGATGGGCAGCATATCAATTTTTCAAATTAATAAATAATTGCCAGTTTCTCTACTTCTCAAGCCCCCTTCCTTTATGAGGTGACCGGGTTCCTACAACATGCTAGACTAGCCAAAGGCAGTTCTGGTTGAGTGTGGAATTGAAGCCCACAGTGGATTGCAGATGTCAGGGCAGCAAGGAACAGAATCTTATTTTTCAAAATGTTTTCGGGAAGGAACAAGCACAAAGTTTCAGAGGCTCATTTTATTCTGTTGGTTAGTACCGTTATTTCCTACACCAAAAGGGTAAGAATGTTTCCTCAGCAATACCTAGTCCTAGCCCAACCTTTACAGTTTGGCTGTCTCACATGAAAGGTTGTTGGATTAGGAAGGCAAAAAATCCGCGGAGCCGCTATGTGGGGAAATAAGAGGACACAGAAGTTCTGGGCTGCCACCTCGCGACCATCTGGTTTTGGCAGCCTAAAATGTGGCAGCCGCGTAACGCGTAACTGTTGCTGAACCGTCTGAACAAGACCGGATTTGCTTTGCACCACAGAGCTGAACGGCGCCCGTCATGGCGCATATTTTGGACGAGACAGAAAATCCCGCAAGGGCCCCGGATGCTGTTTATCAATCCCCTTGCTGTGCAATAAAACCCCCGAACGAGTCAGGCGAAGGATTTGCTGTTCCGGGGAGAGCCACGCATCTCTCCCGTTTTGCCTGACGCCGGGATCCCCTCTCCCGCGCTCACGGGATGAGGAGATCCGGCAGATCTGAAGCGGGAGGAAGATCAATCAGGTGCCGTGATTGGGGAAGGATCCTTCGGTGGGAAAAGGGCCCCTGCCAGAATGCTGTCTCACTTGCCTTCCCCCCCCCTTCTCTCTCTTTCTCTGCCTGTCAGTCTAAACTAGCTAGATAAGAAAGGACAAGAAACAATGGATGGAAACTAATGAAGGAGAGAAGCAACCTGGAATTGAGGAGAAACTTCCTAACAGTGAGAACAATTAACTAGTGGAACAGCTTTGCCTTCGGAAGTTGTGGGTGCTTCATCACTGGAGGTCTTTAAAAAGAGACTGGACAGCCACTTGTCTGAAATGGTATACAGTAGTGGCCAAAATTGTGGAAACCTTTTGGGAAAAGTGTATTTTCTAAAACTAGCTAATAACACCACTTTCTTTTTCTTTTTGGAGTAGTGTAGTACCGTAAAATTATATATCAATGAAAAGATAATTTAATCAAGAATGTAATGCAATAACTTTTATGAAGGATTTGCTATTAGAATAGCAGTTACAGTATAAAGAAAAAAGTGAAACAGAGAAAAAACGAGATATACAAAAATTATCACCATGTCAGGTAACCATTAGCATGAATTATGGCCTTACAATGTCTTCCCATGGAGTGAACCAAGGCTTTTAGTTCCGCAGCTGTCTTCCATTCGCCCATTTGCAAAGAGCCTCAATAGCTCAGGTCACTTTCCTTCAAGTGCTAATACGAAAAAGAGACTGACCGAAGGAACCACTTCATGGTCAGACAGAGAATGTCCCCCCCCCCGCAAGTTTTAACGCAACACTGAAGGATTAGGGTAGATAGCTTTTGTTGTGGTCTGCCAGCAGCCTGCGGAGCTGGGAGCAGAGTTGGATAGTGAGCAGGCTGGGGAGGAACATGGGCCAGTCCTGGAGTCTGGAGAAGGCCCCGACAAGGGCTCTGCGTCGGAGGCAGAGATGGGGCGAGGGCCATCTGAGAGAGTCGGACAGCAAAGAGGCAGAAAGCAAAGAGGAACAGGAGGAGCCTGTTCCTAGTGCACACATGTGTAGAGCTGCCAGAAGGCAAGAGCAACTAAAGCAAAAGGGATGACTCAGGAGTAAGGCCAGGAGATGATTGGCCCCTCCCATAAGGCTTAAAAGAGAAAGAGGCACTTGGGCCTTTTTGCAGGAAAGCAACGTTGGTAACTCTGTTTCCAGTCAGCATCTCTTGTTTGTTTCTGAACTTCGTGGGGCTTTGCCAAGTGAGGCCTTTGGCAGGGTGTCAAAGAAGATAAAGGTTGGTGATTATCCCGAAGGACTTCTGCCGAAGGACTTGTTTTGCAACTAATTGGGATTCAGCTGGGAATGAACATAATTCTCAGCTGTTACAATAAAATAGGTTTGTTTGGGACTAATTGTGTATTGCAATTACTCAGTAAGCCTAGGTCACAACAGCTTTGTAAAGCAGCGCCCGGGCCCTACGGGCTTCATTATTGTTGTAGTCAGTAATTTGTAATGGAGGCGAGAAGATATGATGCTTTGTAACGTCTCGTTGAAGCAAGCTGGTGTTGCTAGGGCTACACAGGATCTGAGCAGCAAAAATCCAGACGGCTTCTATATGACAGCAAAGGGGAAATTGCAGTGGCACTGAGCAGTTTTGCAATCCAGATCTGGTAACCTTAAGATTATCCTAGAACAAATGAAATTTGAGTGGAATAATTTTGCAAAAATTAGATTGAAGCTTATTAATGGCATTCCTATTACAGTTATTATTTACATAATAACAATGGTAATGGTAATAAAAATTAAAACCTGTATGCAGCCAATGCTAAAAAATATGACTCTGATTGTGTCCTACCATTCAAAGCAATAGAAAATGTATGTACTGAGAGACCTTCAAATACATTGAGATGAATGAACTTTAGATGGTTGTCTCATCATAGTAAGCAGTGACATATTTGATTGCACTTTAATCAGCCACAGATGGGGTTGAACAATGCTCAAATTTTTCTGCATCGAAGTCTGCAGTTCAAACTGCCATATAGGAAGGAGCCAAAACCCAGAATAAGTTTGGTTTTGTCACAATGAAATACAGATAATATGTTTATTCGCCCATCCTATGAATAGCTTTTGCCTTTTAGGATCAACCAAGAGTGCTAGACTGTGTTGTATTTCTTGACTGTTTGTTCCTTTACTGATGCACTTGGTAGAACAACCATGAGGGTCCTGGAAAAGATCTTCAAATGCCGTGATGTGTCTATACCAGGGGTCAGCAACCTGCGGCTCTGGAGCCTCATGTGGCTCTTTCATCCCTCTGCTGCGGCTCCCTGGCACTCATAATGTGTGACACCCACCGGCATGCGATTTATTGAGCTTTTCAATCCCTGGTAGGCCAACCATGGATAAATCCAAGAAAAGTAAAGTTTCAAAAGAAAACAGAACATTTAATTCACTCGTCACTTCCCGCCTGGACTACTGCAATGCTCTCTACATGGGCTCCCCTTGAGGAGCACCCAGAGGCTCCAACTGGTGCAGAATGAGGCCGCGCGGGGGATTATGGGAGCAATGGGGCACTCCCATGTGACACCTCTCCTGCACGAGCTGCATTGGCTTCCGGTGGCCTTCCGGGTGCGCTTCAAGGTGTTGGTTACCACCTTCAAAGCACTCCATGGCATAGGGCCTGGGTACTTACGGGACCGCCTTCTGCCGCCGATAGCCTCCCACCGGCCAGTTCGCTCCCACAGAGAGGGACTCCTCAGGGTGCCGTCAGCCAGGCAATGTTGCCTGGCGACCCCCAGGGGGAGGGCCTTCTCTGTGGCAGCACCTGCCCTCTGGAACGACCTGTCCCCGGAGATACTTAGGATACCAGATCTCCGTGCTTTTCACCGTGCCCTCAAAAATTTTCTATTTCATCAAGCTGGGCTGGTGTAAACCCCCCCCCCTTTTAGATATTTTTAATTGTAAATGGATTTTAGTCGGGAAGTTTTAAATTTTGGGCCAAAATTTGTTTAATTCTTTTAAAATTTAAAATTTTGTATTGGGATGTTTTTTATTCTTGGCTGTGCACCGCCCTGAGTCCAGCAGGAGAAGGGCGATATAAAAATTTAATAAAATAAATAAATAAATAAATAAAATTCAACTACATATGCTAGTTTTGTGGCCGCTCAAGAAATAGTCAGGCACAGGAAGGGTTTTGTGGCTCCCGGTGTTTTCTTTTCTGTGGGAAACAGGTCCAAATGGCTCTTTGAATGTTTAAGGTTGCAGACCCCTGATGTATACTTACAAAAATCAGGATCATGCAAGCTTTGAGAGTCTACGGAAACAAAAGTTGGACTTCGAAGAAGGATAGGCAGAATATTGATGCTTTTGAACTTTGATGGTAGTGAAGACTTAAGAATACCATGAACAGCCAAAAAAATCAAACCAATAGGATCATGAAACAAATTAAGCCAGAGTTCTTACTTGTGGCCCAAATACTTGGTTTGACTTATCCTATTTTGGGCACATGATGCGAAGATGTAGCTCACCAGAAAAGGCTGGGAAAGGTGAGAGAAAAGAGAAGAAAAGGACAATCAACAGCAGGAGGATAGACTCAGTTACAGTGGTAATAAGTGCAAAAATGGTAGACTTGAAAAATGAGTTAGGAATAAATTGCCGTGTTATATGGTTGCTAAGAGTTGATATCAACTTGATGGCACACAATCAAAAATCAACTATTTAATACTTTCACACATCTGTCCCATTAAAAATTGCAACTTTATAAATAGTTACTTGGCTATAACCAAGGATTTTAGGAGTCACCTATGATTCTGGGACACTAAATCATAAGACAATGGTTTATAAAGTCAAAATAACGGAGCTCACCCATAATAGGCCCATACTGTGTCTCAGTAGATGTGTGAACTGAATCTTTATCATTTCTTGTTGAGCAATAAAATATTGTATTGTTTGATTTCTCTTGATAAGACTCAATTTTAGATTATCAATAGCCTGCTTTATACGCGATATCCACGATTGTTTCAAATCACTGTGGCACTTAGGTTCATATACTACTTTAAGTCTTGTTTTATTGGACAAATCACAGCAATTGCTTTACAAATATGTCATAAAAGGCAGTCAGCAAATTACAATATCTCATTCATACGTTCTATAAACTACATTAAAATTTAGTGCAAGTGAGCTGATGCTCTTCCCTGTTATCTGCTAATTTTATGGATGTCTTCTGCAAAAAAAAAAAAAAAAAAGGCAAAAATAAATCCAGTAAAAAAACAATCACGGATTTTCCCTCACATTCGCCCTCGGAAGGCATACAAATGCATACAAAAGGAAACCAATTAACAAGGAGGAGGAGTCATATTCTGTGTTGTATATTAAAGTTTATTGAATTACCATGTAAGAATTTTGCTCTGTAATAAAAGTCATCTGGAATCTAAGCTGATTATTTACAGACAAAACTTCTCATTTCATGATAAAAATCCCTACTTTGCTCAGAGCAGTATCTACAATAACATTATACTATGGAACAACAACAATCATAAGAAAACCAGGCTGGGTTGTCCATCAAGCTTTTCAGTTTAATAATGACCTAATCCTCCAATCAGTTAAGGGAGCAGATTTTTAGGGGTGAGTAGGAAGGAGCTGAACCAGAATGCAAAAGAAAGAAAAGGAAGGAAGGAAGGAAGAAAAAGAAGAAAAAGAAAGAAAGAACAGAAAGAAAGAGAAAGAAAAAGAAAGAAAGAAGGAAAGGCAGATTATTGGCTCAGAATGCAAAAGGGCCAAAATAGAAGCAGTGTAACACCTTTGCAACTCTCCCCAAATTTAGAATTTGGGAGCCCTTTCCTCAGTAGCCAGGGCCATTTTCTTTCTCCCAACTGTAGCCTTCACGGTTGAAAGCCCTTCCTGCAATATACAGGTAGCCCCCGACCACAACTGAGCCCAAAATTTCTGTTGCTAAGCGAGACAGTTCTTCAGTGAGTTTTGCCCCATTTTACGACCACAGTTGTTAAGTGAATCACTGCAATTGTTCAATTAGCCACACGGTTAAGCGAATCCGGCTTCCCCGTTGACTTTGCTTGTCAGAAGGAAGGTCGCAAAAGGGGATCACGTGAGTGAGACCCCACGACACTGCAACCGTCCTAAATATGAGTCCGTTGTCAAGGGTCTGAATTTTGATCATGTGACCATGGGGATGCCGCAACGATTGCAAGTGTGAAAAATGGTCATAAGTCACTTCTTTCGTGTCATTGTAATTTTGAAGAGTCCCTAAACAAAAAGTTGTTAAGTCGAGGACTACTTGTATATACCGAAAAACCCCAAAAACTCAACAACACACCTTGCTGGAGGTACGTTACTAATGTATCATGCTTGGACTTGCTGCCAAAACAGAGCTGCTGCTGTGAAAGAGGGGAGCAGCTGCAGCCTTGTTTTGTTAAAATAAATCCTGTTGTGGTCCAACATGGTTATTAATCTGCTGCCATCAGCAGGTCAAGCTTTCCGTGGCATGAGAGCCGAAGCATTATCACCTACCCGTATCTGTGGTTCAGGCTGCTCTTAAATACCCTTCAAAGGCCAGCCAAGAAAAAAAGAGGAGATGGTGAAACTTCTCCATTTCTTTTGACTTCCCGAGCAACCATTAAGGTTGACCTCAGCAGTGAAATGCACTTACCTTCGCTTTGGAAATGTGAGTGCGCGCTCACTATGCGCCTGCCTCTTCTCCGCATTCACAGAGCCTTCTGCGCATGCACAGAGGGTCAAAAATGGGACATAGTGACGTCCCGGCAGGTGGGCAGAGCTTCCTGCCGCTGGCCCTACCGGTTCGTGCAAACCGGATAGATCCGGTTGGATTTCACCGCTGGTTCACCTGCATCTATTAGGAGAGGAAGGTGCGTGAGAAGGACGGGGGATTATTTTCATCTGAACTGGGAAGGCTCAAAACAGCCTGCACCATTTTGAGTGTTCCCAGCTCAGATCAAACCATCCCATGCCTCGTCTATGGAGGTTCTCAGTCATCCAGCTCATGGTTGTCCCAACGGTGCTTTTTCAAGAGGCAACTGGACAGAACAGAAGAAGCTTCTTGAATGAGAAGCGAAACGTCTTCAAGGAAAACAAAGAAAGTCCAGTTGCCTCTTGAAAAAGCACCTTTGGGATATTCCATGCCTTTCTCACACCTTCCTGTCCTGTTGTGGGTGATTTGATTCAGGAGACCAAAAAAAACAAAACAAAACCCAGAAATGTCTTGCGTGCTGTTAGAGGCATCGAATGAATTCCCATTGATAACGGGATTTCTATAGAATTCCTATTTCCATAAAAGTGTACTAATGCAGTTGTAGTGTTCAATCTCTTTCTGAAAAAGCAGTTGGCCACAGAGGAAAACTTTCAAAAATAGTTAGAAGAGAGAATGGGAGACCTCAGTAAAACTTGAAATGGTGGCTCATTTTCCTTACGACCTTGTGAGATTCTCCTTTAAATCTCCCTGCCTCAGTGGTGGGTTCCTCCCGGTTCGGTCCAGTTCGGCCGAGCCGGTAGCGGTGACGATATGACGTCACCGAACCGGTTCTCCTCCCCCCCGCCCTCCCACCCCCCCCACCCACGTTATTCTTACCTTTTATTTGGTCCCACCCCCAATCTATTGCTGCCTCCTGAGTCCCAGCTGATGACTAGAGGGAAAAAAAGTGTTTAAACTCTTGCCGCGGGGCTTCAAAGGGCCATCCTACAGCTGATCAGTGTTAAAAGCAAACAAATGAGTCGGGTCGTAAGTGCGAGGACTGGTCGTAAGTGCGAGGACCTTCCAGAAATGATTCGGACCAGCTAGCCACGCCCACCTAGTCACATGACCTCCTAGCCACACCCACAAAATAAGCCACACCCACAGAACCGGTAGTAAAAAAATTTAGAACCCACCCCTGCCCTGCCTAGACACTAATGTTTGGTTACACGTGTGAAAACATACATCAGCTCAAGACAGCGTTTCCCCCAATCCCACAGGATAAGAACAATGTCAGGGCTGCATTCATTTAGGAAATTGCATAGGGCAGAATGGTTAACTATCACCCAGCAGAGTCCATATATGCAATCCAAGCCCCTCTCTCTGGTAGCTGATTTTAAATAATGACATAAATAAAACTCTCTGCCAATAGGCTGCTTAGACATTTCTTACATGACATTTTGTTTTCTCCCCAAACGGTCAACGTACTTTTGTCCCCAAATACAATAGTATGTAGTTGGTTTTTTGTTTTTTTGTTAAGTTGAGCCACATTCTTGAAAACTGGTTGAACTGAAAACCTAGCGTTAGTATATCTCACCAGAGCAATAAAAGTTACTGTAGTTGCTGCCTATAGCTACAAAAGTGAGAGTACTTGCGTGTGTGCCACTTCCACCTGTGTGTGCAGAATCCCACCCGAAAAATTGCAATGCTACTAGAGCAGGGGTGTCAAACTGAAGGCCCGGGGCCTGGATCTGGCCCGCCGAGTGCTTAGATTTGGACCATGGGGCCAGTGGTGAAATCCAATTTTTTTTACTACCGGTTCTGTGGGCGTGGCTTGGTGGACATGGTGGGTGTGGCAAAGGAAGGATACTGCAAAATCTCCATTCCCACCCCACTCTGGGGCCAGCCAGAGATGGTATTTGCCGGTTTCCCAAACTACTCAAAATTTCTGCTACCGGTTCTCCAGAACCTGTCTGGACCTGCTGGATTTCACTCCTGCATGGGGCCGCCCTGGAAACAGCGAAGGACTGGCCCATTCTGCCTCTGCCAGCAAAAATGGAGCTGGGAACCCGTTTTCGCTGACAGAGGGTTGCAGGAGGCTGTCACAGCTGAAAATGGCGTTCGGGCCACCACAAGTGCCCGACATGAGTGACGAGCTGGCCATGCCCACCCTGGCCACGCCCACTCCAGCCTTCCCCCCACCCCCAGGTCACACACAACCCTTATGTAGCCCTCAATGAAATCGAGTTTGACACCCCTGTACTAGAAGGTTTGCAGAGCTCTGAAGCCTGTGATACCAAACGGCAAAATGAAATTATTTCTGGTATTAGATCAAACTACTAATGAGCAAAGATCCCAATCTATCAGAGCATAGCTGACTGGAGCTTGGAGGGTTCCCCCCCCCGGATTTGGGTTACTAACAGATAATGGACAAGAAGAAGAGACAAAGAGGAAAGGAAATGAAATTAAGAGCGCTGATGTGCTCACCTCATCTCTTGACAGAAAGGACTGGGGAACAATTAGGCCATGCATCAACCCATGGCTGAGATTTAATTTTAATCAGAATAAAGCTGCCCCCCCCCCAAAAAAGGGGGAGGGACGCGGCTCTGCTTGGCTTTTCCCCGTGCTCTTTAATAGCAAGATTAAGTTACAAAAATCAGCAGGCGGTACCTGTCATGACAGGGAGATAAACATTATCATCTGCTAATGCCTGTAAATCTAGCCGCTCTCAAAGAGACAGGAGGAGAAGGGCATGGCAACAAATGGGGTCCTGGGTAGCCGCAATGCATACAAATAACAAAACCTGCCAGGGTGAAGGAGAAAAACCAAAGGGGCAAATCATCAGCTTTTGTCATCCTTCCAAAAAGCCTCTGAAAAAAAAGATGGGAAAGACTCTAATGAAGGCTTGAAAGAAGGGTGAATCTGGCGTCTAGGAAGAAGGAATTCTCAGGAGGAAGAAGTGCTAGCCCAAAGGGGCCAGGGAGGACCTCAAAACCTTGAAGCTCCTACACAGGTCTCGCCTTTTCTCTGCAGAGCGACTGGCAACCCCCAGTTCATTGTTGGGAAGGCAAGGCCAATGGTGGCAGTGTCGTTTGTGCTTTTGAGGAAAGCAAGAACGGGGCAAGGGCCAGAAGCAGCAGCTACAGGAAGGCACACCTATGACCATCTTTAGTGAGGAAGGGGAGGTGATTTCCCCCCATCTTTCAGGGATTTCCGCAAGTTGGGAGCTGGATCTTCCCTTCCTCTGCCTGTTCCTTTGTCCG